TCATTTTTGTTTTTGCTCTTCTGATGGTTTTCAGCTTTCTCTTTCTGCAAATTGTAGTTGTATGGTGCGATATGCCAGCACCCACAATACTATCAAAACGTACTCGGTTACTAACGTAACCTCGGTTCTCTCTAGAGAGGGAACGAGTACTGCGTAATAGCTTACGCTAGGGGAAAACCTCTTTTCCACGAGATATTGAAGCCAAAAATTATCCTTAATTTTTTATTAATGTAAAACGCTTTGCAGCAGCAAGCAGACACAGGCGATACAGCTCGCGCGCAGCCTATCGAGAGACTCTGCGTGACGTAATGACCAATGGGGGCAACTCGCGCCCATATCGTCACGTCCCGCCAGAAAGGGCGTGGTCTCACTCTATAAATATGTTCGTTAGGCTGGTACAAGCTGGTTTTCATCGCCGAAGCGAACCAGAGCGTATTCCAAGCACGGCAAGATACGCAGTACTCGTTCCCTCTCTAGACAGAACCGAGGTTACGTTAGTAACCGAGTACGTTCTCTTACGAGAGTATCTCTCGTACTGCGTAATAGCTTACGCTAGGGGAACACAATGCAACACGCCGTGCGTACAGGGATCCAACACCAAAGTCCCAGGGGCCGAAGCCCAGGGCTCATATAGTGCATTATCACCATAAACTCACATAGAGTGGAGGAAGAGAGGCTGGAAGCGTCGTTCCTTATAAAATAGCACCCAGCGGGGCTATCATATGACAATAAAACGCGCAGCCAGGGTGAAAGCTTTCAGCCTGATCTGGGTGGCCATACGTGTGTCAACACTCATGGGGCTGCAGTAAACTCAGCATCTGGGCCGCACAGCGGGGCAGATAGCACTGAATTTTTTTGACCGCCAAAAGCTTAGCTTGTAAGGCGGGTACCTCCAGGTTATAGTATTTCATAAATGTAGACGGCGAGGCCCAGCCCGCGGCCGTACAGATATCTTGCAGGGAAACCCCGCTAGACCATGCCCACGAAGAGGCCACGCCTCTCGTGGAGTGCGCTCTGACACCCAAGGGGCACTGCAGGCCCTTTGCAGTGTAAGCGAGTTCAATGGCATCCACTATCCATCTGGATAGGCTCTGTTTTGAGGCGGCAAGTCCCTTGGAGCACCCGCCAAACAAAACGAAAAGCTGCTCAGTCTGTCTGAAAACAGACGAGCGCGACACATAAGCTCTTAATGCCCTGACGGGGCAAAGGAGACTCGCGACCTCCTCCTCATTGAGAACCGGAAGGGCGGACAGGGAAATGACCTGGGCCCTAAACGGTGTATTGAGGGATTTCGGCACATACCCGTGCTTAGGTTTGAGAATGACCTTCGAGTCATTAGGCCCAAACTCCATACATGACGCGCTTACTGAAAGCGCCTGCAAGTCCCCTATGCGCTTCACTGAAGCGAGAGCCATGAGAAACACTGTTTTGAACGACAGGTGTTTCATGTCCACCAGCTGGATTGGCTCGAACGGGGCGCCTTTCATGGCCTCCAGGACCGTGGAAAGGCCCCACGTCGGGACTGAAGGGGGCCTGGGAGGGTTTAGCCTCCGAGCTCCCCTAAGGAAACGCACGAGTAAGTCGTTCTTCCCCAGCGACTGGCCAGACACCGGTTTTGCAAACGTTGCTATGGCCGCCACATATACTTTGAGCGTGGATGGGGTCCTGCCCTTATCCAGTAGCTCTTGAAGGAAGGAAAGCACTTCCGAAACCCCGCATTCCACAGGTGAAAAACTCTGGGCTTGACACCATGCAGAGAAAACAGACCATTTCGAGGAGTAGAGCCGCCTGGTAGACGGAGCTCTAGCCTGCGCGATCGTGTTTAACACTCCTTCTGGGAGGCTAGCGGGTACCCGTTGATGGCCCATGCGTGCAGGGACCACAGCTCCGGGCGAGGGTGCCAAATCGAGCCCTCCGCCTGAGAGAGGAGGTCTCTCCTCAATGGTACAGGCCATGGGGCAGTGCTGGTCAGCTGCATCAGGGCAGGGAACCACGTCTGGTTTGTCCAGAGCGAAGCTACGAGCAGCACTGGGCATCCGTTTTCCCTGATTCGTTCCAACACCTGAGGCAGGAGCGAGACAGGAGGAAAAGCATATAGGGGGCAGCGGGGCCAAACATGAGCCAGCACGTCCTTGCTTTTCGAGAAAAACTTCGGGCAATGAGCGTTTTCGTGGGACGCGAATAGGTCCACCTGTGCTCTGCCGAATGTTTTCCACAGCAGCTGGACCGTCTGCGGGTGCAGCGACCACTCCCCTGCTGGAACATTGTTCCTGGACAGTCTGTCTGGTCCCACATTCAGGTGACCAGGCACGTGCGCTGCTCTCAGTGAGAGCAGGTTGTGCTGAGCCCAGACCAGGAGGCGTTCCGTCAGCCTGTGAAGGTTTCGTGACCTGACGCCGCCCTGGCGATTTATGTATGCCACCACTGACATGTTGTCCGACCGGACCAAGACGTGGTGGCCTGTTACCTGGGGACAAAAACGCCGTAGCGCTTTGTCGACTGCTATCATCTCCAAGCAGTTTATGTGAAGGAGCTTTTCCCGTTCTGACCACAGGCCAGCTAGCGGTCTGCCCTCGAGCAGCGCTCCCCACCCCGAGGTGGAGGCGTCCGTAGACACCACCTTCACACTCGAAGCGGTCCCCAGACTCACACCTGACTGATACCAGTCGGTTATTTTCCAAGGTTCCAGAGCTGAAACACACTGTAGGTCGACCCTGAGGCGAAACAGACCCGCTGTCCATGCCCTGGGTGGAACCCGCGCTTTCAGCCACATCTGCAGTGGGCGCATGCGAAGCAAGCCCAACTGGAGTACAGAGGCCGCTGAGGCCATCAGCCCCAGCATTTTCTGAAACCTTTTGAGCGGAACTATCGAGCCGTGGCGGAAGGATTTGGCGACGCGCTGAATATTTAGTCCGCGCTCTGGTGACAGGCGTGCCGTCATGGATAGCGAGTCTAACACTGTTCCCAGAAAGGACATTTTCTGACTGGGAGACAGTGAGCTCTTCGCCCAATTGACTGTGAGGCCCAGCTCCTCGAGGTGCTCGAGTAATGCGGCCCTGTGTTCTATGAACAGCCATGCAGTTACATAATTTTAAATTATATTTATATTAAAACTATACCTAAATATTTGAATGCATCAAATATTCTAGCAAAATGTATAATGTATTATATTTATAACGGATTTAACACTTCAAAACAGTAATTGCGTTAGCATAAGTTCCAGAAGCCATTCCTGTTGTCTGTAACTACGACGTGTGCAGTTGTTGCTGTACGTTTATCATGTACAGTCGTGCTCAGAATTAATGGTAGGCCTACTCCTGGTAAATATGATCAAAACTGGCTGTAAAAAATAAATCTGCATCGTTTATCCCTTTGATCTTTCATTAAAAAAATTGCCAAAAATCTATTGAAAGTGGGGGGAAATCACATTATGAAATATATTTTTCTCCAAAACACGTTGGCCACAATTATTGGCACCCTTTTATTAAATACTTTTTGCAATCTCCTTTTGACAAGATAACAGCTCTGAGTTCTCTCCTATAATGCCTGATGATGATTTTGGAGAACACCTGAGATCAGAGACCATTCCTCCATACAGAATCTCTCCAGATCCTTCAGATTCCCAGATCCATGTGGGTGCTTCTTCTCTTCAGTTCACTCCACTCATCAGGTCAGTGAACTGGGACGGTCATGGCAGAAGCTTCATTTTGTGCTCTGTAACAAATTTTTGTGTTGATTTTGATGTTTGGTTTGGATCGTTGTTCTGATGGAAGATCCAACCACCAACCACCATTATAAGATTTCTAGCAGAGGCAGTCAGGTTTTGATTTTTTATCTGTTGATATTTGATAGAATCCAGGATACCGTGTATCTGAACAAGAAGTAAGTCCAGGACCTTTAGCAGAAAAATATGCCCACACAGCATTAAAGATCCAACGGTTTATTAAATTGTACACATGGGGTACTTTTTATCCGTGTGTGCACCAAACCCATCTATCTAGCGTGTTTGCTGCCAAAAAGCTCTTTTTTTAGTTTCATCTGACCACAGAACCCTGTGCCGTTTGAAGTTCCAGTCGTGTCTGACAACTGAATTTGCTGGAGTTTGTTCTTGGATGAGCGAGGAGGATTTTTCTTGTAACCCTCCCAAACAAAATGTGATGTAGGGGTAGTTTGATTTTTTTTTTATAGGCTTTCTGACCCCAAGAATCAACTAATCTCTGCAATTCTCCATCTATAATCCTTGAGTCTTTGGCCACACAAATTTTCATCCTCACCATGCATTAAGGCAATATAGACACACGTCCTCTTCCTGGCAGATTCGTAACATCTTGGTCAAAATGGGGATTTTCAACTCTTTAGCTATTTTCTTACAGCCACTTTCTATTTTGTGATGCTCAACAATCTTTTGACACACATCAGAGCTATATTCTTTGGTTTTACTCATTGTGATGGATGATTAAGGGAATTTGGCCTTTGTGTTTCCTCATATTTAAACTCCTGTGAAACAAGTCATGGCTGGACAATTTCACGCTCCTAGTCACCCTGGTGTGATAAAAAAGGTAAACATTAATGGGAATATACTTCAGAGATATTTTACTCTTAAAATATACTAGGGGTACTGATAATTGTGGCCAACGTGTTTTGGAGAAAAAGAATTCTCTTACTTCAATTTAAGGTGAGATTTTTGGCAATTTTTTGAATGAAAGATCAAAATAATAAACAATGCAATTTATTATTTACAGCCAGTTTTGATCATATTTACCAGGGGTACCATTAATTCTGAACACAACTGTACGATCAAACCCTACAAATGATCAAACAGCCAGAAACACTGATTGGAATGTTGATAAAGAAACAAATAAGAAAAGGTATGATGCATTTAGCTTCAAAATAAAATGCAAGCTCAGCCAGGGCAAGACCCATGCATTACATTAAAAGTTCTCACTTGTCATTTTAACAGTTCTATTGAAAAAATAAAGACAATAAACAAGTAAGACAACTTAGCATGTTAAAAATGGGAAATACCTTTATTTCAGACCATTAAAATAAATACTATACAGAATCCAATGTAGAAAACACTTAATACATGGCTTCTGTCTCAAAAAGGTTAATAATTGTCACATTTGTAATAAATTTGTTTAAAAAAATAGCCCTAACCACCCCAAATGTAAACCCCACATCCAAACCCACCCAACAAAAGACAGGCATTTTTTTTAACAATACGAAGACATAATGATCTCTATATACTCTACTACTGCAGTTTGGTCCTTTACATATTTAGACCTCTCCAACACAGTTTGGTGAGGTAGGTTATGGGAGCAAAACTCCTCAATAGGACTTTGATGCAGAGAAAAATCTGAGGCAATACAATGGTGGGTTATCCAGTCATATCAACCATTCCAAATTCATTTCTAATGCATTCAGCCATTCATCCCGCCAGAGTAAAGCCTATTTACAAAAACCGAAAAAGCTACAGCCACGCACACAGGACAACACAAAAGATGTAACAGAAGAATTGGACCATTTGAGAATTACTTGACCACATTTTTCAATTCTAGAATCAGATTTGTTCCCACAAACCAACTTCCTTTTGAACTGAAGCATCTTTTTTTAAATCAAGCGGATCTTAACCTACTCAGATGCTTCTGTAAAAGGAAAATGGCAGTGACTTCCAATTTGGAATAAAAGTCCAAGTCCTCCATATAAAACACATGAATCATTATATAGTTTACATCCTTTGCCCTGTGCTAGAAAAAAAAAAATCTTCCAATGTAAAGTCACATCTCAAATATGGTTAAACCAACACTATCAAGAAAAGCAGGGCATGTCTCCAATCCATTATGCCAGTCAGTGCATTAACATTTACACCACATGCAAATAAGCCCTGCAACACCTCCTTGATCACTAGATGGCACCATTTTAAAAGGGCAAGATTAAATGAGCCTTATGAATCTTGTATTCATTTTGAGTATTCTCAAGAGTGGCCAACCTACTGGATTTATGAAAAATCACACCATCAGAACCAACAGTACTTGATTTGTGAGGGATTTGCATGAAAAGAGATATGGGTTGGAATGAGACTAAAGAGGAAAAAAAAAAAAAAAAAAAAAGTAGGGAAGGAGGAAAGATTGGGGCAGGGGTCTCAGATCAGATCAGCAACGTTCATGGGCATTTCCTCTACAGTAGTATTGTAGAAGGTTTCAATGTCTCGCAGCGTACGCTTGTCATCTTCGGTGATCATATTGATAGCAACTCCCTTTCTGCCAAAGCGTCCACCACGTCCGATTCTACACAAATAAAGCACTGTTAGTACACAGGGACAAATGCACGAATCAGACAACTACTATCACAGAAAAAGCTTTTAGACTCACCTGTGAATGTAGTTCTCCCTGTTGGTTGGAAGGTCATAGTTGATAACCAGTGAAACCTGCTGCACATCAATGCCTCTTGCCTGAAAGTAAACGAGTACTGTGAGGAATGGTAACGGATTGAAAAACAAAAAGCAGTCAACTAGCAAACCCAAGTTAATTACAAGCAACAGTGCATTTGAAAATTGTAAATGTTAACTGCTTTATAGTCGTGTTGAGGGACTTGGCAACCCAGGCACTGTGGAGAGCAGTTAGAATAATCTCCCAAAGAACTTTATTCCCATCACAGCACAGCATGCTGGTGGAAGAGGGATCCTTGGTGTGACATCTCAGAACTGTGGGTAAAGAGGAAGATGAAAGGTTGCTTACCAGCAGGTCGGTAGTAATGAGGACTCGACTGGAGCCAGAACGGAACTCTTTCATGATGACGTCTCTCTCCTTCTGCTCCATGTCACCGTGCTATGAAGTCATAGTGCAAAAAGTTAAAACCACAAAGGCATTTTGGAAAACTATATAAACACACCACAACCCGTTACGGCCACTCACCAGCGCAGAAACCGTAAAGTCCCTCGCATGCATTTTCTCGGTCAGCCAGTCCACCTTCCGGCGAGTGTTGATGAAGATTACAGCCTGAGTGATGGTCAGGGTTTCATAAAGATCACACAATGTGTCCAACTTCCACTCCTGAAAGACAGAAAAAAGCTTAGCAAATGGAGATAGACAAAACCCTTCTCTTCCAATAGGTGGTGCTGTTTTCAGACTTAAGTCAAGATCATGTTCCCAGAGTCCTACAAGCTCAAAATGCACTGGCAAGCAAAACGCTTACCAGACATTGAGCACTGCAGATAGTCTGGGATCAGTTGACACGCATGGGGATCATCACAAAACAGCATTACAACTTCAGTCACAAACAACTGTAAACTAGAACTGCAAATGAACATCTTTGAAGATTTTAGGGAAGAGAAAGGAATTTATTACTCACTCACCTCCTTCTCAACATTGATGTAGAACTGCCGGATTCCCTCAAGGGTCAGCTCTTCTTTCTTAACTAGGATACGAATAGGATCTCTCATGAACTTTGTGGTCACCTCCAGCACCTCCTGAGGCATGGTGGCAGACAAAAGAATCACCTGGGAAAAAGAAAAACCATGCATAAGCTTACAAAACGAGTCAACACCTTTTCATGTTATAAGCATCTTCAGGTTAACAAATGTACAGTCATCGTGGTCAAATCTACAGCAATCTTCTAAACTGATCATGGTGTGGAGGAAGAGTTGACTGGTTTTACAAACATGGCTTAGATTAAGACAGGATTAGGTTTTAGTTCAATTAGGCCATTTAAGTATTTTATAAACATACCTTATAAAAACATTACTGGTGTGCATCTTGAGACAAAATGGCATTGACATTAAGATGTCAGTGAAAGTGGCTTTCAGTTAAAACAACTCAAACATGCATTTTAGTCTGGGAGTAGGGTTAACCCTTGTCTGAGAAACCAGGGGTTAATTCTCAACCAGCTTTCATCTATTTTGAAGTTAAAACAAAGTGCACAGCAATTAAAAACTAATTTAAGGTACGAAGTGTCAGCTGCTTAATAGTCATGAAGAGGGACCCCAAGAGCCCAATCATAGTGGAGAGCAGAAACATTTCTCTACCAAAGATCATGATTCCCAATACAGCATAGGAAGCTGGTAGGAGAGGGAACTTTGGTGTGGACACCAAGAAAATTGTTAACTGAAAAGTACTACCTTACCTGAGTATCTGTGGCCAACTTCTGAAAGATCTCATAGATTTGGTCCTTGAAGCCTCTGCTCAACATTTCATCTGCCTCATCCAGCGCAAACATCTTTATATATTTAGGAGCTGAAATAGGAAAATAAGTGTAATTTCGAAGACATTAGGTATGCAGAATACTAACCCGTGAACCATTGCAATAAACAGAACATGTAGTTGAGAAAACAATGAATGCTAGGGCAGGTCCTAAACAAGACAGTCTGCTAAAACAAGTACCCATAATCGGTACTTACAGAGATATCTGCGGTTAAGCATGTCAAACACACGGCCAGGGGTCCCAACCACTATGTGGGGCACATCAGCCTGAAGCTTCTGAACGTCATTACGGACATTGGTGCCACCGATGCAGGCATGGCAAGATGCCCCCATGTAGTCTCCAAGAGCCAGGACCACCTTCTGAATCTAAAGACAACAAAGTCAGTTTAGCAATAATAAAAACTATCTAAAGAAAAAACTCATCTGTGCTCATGATTCACTCTACAAGAAACAAAATGGATGGTAAATCATGTTATAAAATAATTATGCATATCTGTGCCCATAGCATGAAACAGTCTTAGTCTCACTGTGTTGAGCTGACTGGGATGAATACGGACTTAATTTCCTCTTCCCCTAACAGATATCGGACTTAGCGTCACTGACAGACACAGCCTTGCCCAGTTGATAGGGGACATGCTTAAACTTTCCACACTTTTTCATTTGGAGACACAGAAGACAGACAGAACCTGAATGAGTAATGCTTTTCACCTGTTGGGCCAGCTCTCTGGTAGGAGCCAGCACCATTGCTTGTGTAGCCTTCAGCTCCACATCAACCTGCTGCAGAATGGAAATGGCAAACGTGGCCGTCTTTCCTGTGCCAGACTGAGCCTGTGCAATGACATCATACCCTACAGACAGAAAACTGCAGAATATTAACCAATGGCCATTCAACCACATGGAGTTTCAAACTGACTAATGTTTAAAGTACTAAGGAAAGCACTTGTGCCCATACCATGAAACAGCCTATGTCTCACTGTTTTGAGTTGACTGGGATGAATATAGGCTTTATTTCATCTGCCCTTACCAGATATAGGTCAGTGTCACTGACAGACACAGCCTTGCCCAATTAATAAGGGTATGAATAAACTGAATTTATAATCCAATAATATAAAATGACTAAGCATAAATACAGAAATAAAATTCTACATACCCTTGATACAAGGGAGGATTGCCCTCTGCTGAATGGCAGAAGGTTTCTCAAAACCATAAGCATAGATTCCTCTGAGAAGAGCCTCACGCAGATTCATATCATCAAAACTATCGACAATCTCCTTCCAGTTGCTCTGAAAAAACAAACAAAAAAAGTAAAAAACACGTATACTGATGCGCATATATACATACAATAATGTATATCAATATAATTATAGAAACAAATTAAATGGCTCTTAGACACCAACCTCAATGATACCATCTGGCTCCATCCCCTCAGGGCCATTGTCTCTGGGTCTGAAATGAGAAGCTGTAATTAGTACAGCTTTGATGTAAAACTCATTTCACATTTTCCAGTGTTGAGATGTGAAAAGTCGGCTAAAGGACTAAACATAGCAATTAATTGGATTTTATCCAATAATTCAGTCACTCGGTCCCCCTTATAGTGTTGGGGTTTATCTACACACAAACATCTCATACATGTATTCATATATTGTTAAATGTTTAATTAGTTCAAGTAAAAACGAAAACTTACTCAGACTCATGATGACTTGAGGGGGAAAAGAAAAGAAAAAGTTAGTCAGAATGACAGCCTCAGTCACTATTCGCTTGCATTGGATCATTCTCCATAAAACGAAAGTGAACGGTTTACCAGTGCTGTCAGTCTGCCTAATATCTCCTTTAGCATTCCACGGAAAAGTCACGGTTTTGAATTTCGATTATTTATAAAAAACAGCGATATTTTACAGTTAAGACACTGACATCGTAAATTAAGAAAATGACCAAGAGGCAGCCATTTTCAGTCAGCGCCATTAACAACGTGGCTCCACGAATTCGTCGGAAACAAATCGATCATTACATTTACAACGTTCTCTCGTATAAAAGCGGTTTAAAATAATACCGTGCGTCAACTCTGTATTATAACCAATCCGTGTAGACAATTGATTTAATTATAGACCCAAAGTAATCAAGTAAGTTAATCGATTCACCGACGACAAAGTTACACTTTTTCTTTTAAAAATTTAAAAGAATAACCGGCATCTTCATCAATTATATACATTTTAATAAGAGAGGCCTATGTGAGGATAGGCCTTGGGCCTGCATCGCAAGAACACTCCATTGTCTAGCCCAGGAAAGGCACATGGCCTACATATTTTCTCCTTTGTAGGCCTACATCTGCGAACAAAACATATATTTTCTATTAAATGACACCTGATACGGAGATATCTGGATAAGTACATTAAAATGAACATTAAAAATGTAGATAATCGGTTTAAAACGATGATAAGGGAGTGACCATGTGCCGCATGGACGCGCCGGCCACACGAGGAACTGAACAAGCGCGTGAGACACGTTGCGTCACAAAAACCGGCATTCTAACGGAACGTCGAATAGACGTTACAAAAATCATTTGAAAAAGACTTTCCAATAAACATTACGAGTATAATCTAAAGTAAACCGCATGGTAGTTACGCTACCTGGTGAAAAAAACCTTTTCTGGGTATTTTTTTTACGAGGCGGGAACAGGGAGAGGACGAACGTGCCAAATCGGCAGATAATGCTAAGTTAGCTTTTAAAACACTGATGAAAGACAAATATTCTATATTTTCCACAAAACCATGTGAAATCAATAATACTGACTAAACATTTCCCGTAAAACGATCAGCACTTACATAAATACATAAATTCTTCGAGCACGTTTTCTTACCTATCTTCATGTTCAGACGACATTATTACAAAGGACTGTAGACTGGCGGAAACGCGCAAATACTTAAACCGTGACTACGACCAAAGTCCGTTGATTGGACAACTTCTCGTTCAATCAGATTATAGACCGCCCATCGTGTCTTCCAATTGGTCAAGAAACGATTGGTATCACCCTATTATAAGCGCCTGTTTAAAGACGTCACGAAGCGAAAAAAAGAGAACAAAATCCTAGCTGGAAGTTGAAAAAAAAATGCTATGTGAACCACATTTTTTTTTCTTTTCTTTAAGAAATGTGATGTTTGGTTTTCTAGCATCTACATTTTTTAAATGATAAATGCCTAATTTTATATTAGTAAAATAAAATTCATAAATATACAAAGTTTTGCTCACTACCAGAAATAATGGTAGTCAGAAGTAACGCTTCCCTTATTACCCAAGAGCTGTTTTCCAGTACATAAATGTTGCAAGCGAGTCATCTATTATTCACAGCTAATGTAAATAGTGGGTAATTTAATGTGTGATATAAATATGCTTTGAGGAAAAAAAAAACAGCTTATTGGGATTATTTCTAGTTTGAATAAGGGTGAATAATGCTAAGTAACATGATGAGAATACTACCATATTAAATCCTGGCCATTTCAAAATACAAAATTATTCATTACAATGTGACTAACAGAATAACAATTTAAGTGTTCTGATGATTACCCAGATCGTTATTTTCATAAGACGATTTATTAAAAACAAAACTGCAGACATGATTCATCACTTGCATCAGGGCACAGTTACTCTCATCTTTATGCACAGAACAAATACAAAACCCAAAACAGAATGTTCCATTTAAGCAGTATGTCACAAGGGCAAGACAGGCTGTCAACCGTGGATTACCTCAGATCTCTCAGTCAAGATGTTGGCCTCCAGTACGAAACCAACTGAAAAGGTTATACAAAATAAAAATAAAAGTGAGTGATGAAGAAATATCCTCATTGTGAAGTCTCTCAAGCTTTTTGGACAAATGTATCTCTTTCCTCACTGGTTGTGCAGTCTTTACACAAATATCACAGTGAGAGCTTGCAATGACACAGTTCTTTGTACATAAGTCTCCTCAGCTTGGGCATGTCCTGCTGACGGAAGCTGAAGGGCTGACCCAATGCGAGACACTTGCAGTACTAAAGAAGAGGTGGATAAATAAAGAGAAATAAAAGGTCACTCTTATGTTTAGAACTGAGGAAAAGACATCAAACAACACATATTCGGACAACATTTTTCTGTGCATTTATGGAGTACTGTTTGTCGCATTTTGGATGAAGCATGTTAAAAACTTCAACCCACCACAGTCTATTTGAATGGATTTAACTCTAGATAAACAGTTATAAATGTACAGTATTGTGTCAGTTAATCTAAATCTTATCAACCACCACTTATCAAAACCCCAGACCATGGTCAGCTATATGAAAATGGTGTATGTACAAACCTGTAGGACAAATGCCCCACAGTCACTGTCATTATTCTGTCTGCCAACATTCTGTAACATAAAAAAAGAGGCTTTATTAACTGTCATTGAAACATTTGAACAGCATTAGAAAAAAAGAAAAGCCGTCACAACAAGTAGCAATTTGTGGAAATGTTCACTGCAGTGTCTGGACTTACCATTTTAAAAAAGCCTTTCCACCCAATCAGAAAATCTCTCTTGTCTTTTATCATGGCTTCTGCCTGCAGGTATTTAAAAATATGCTGTGGAGGGGAAAAATGGTCACTTAACTAATTAGAGTTACAAACATAAAGGTTAATTATTATATTGTTGTAGACATTGCACACAGGTTTAAAGAAATTTCAGTTTGTGGAGAAGATTTTGAGTGTACTATAGCACATAAGCACTATATTTTTATGTGGCTTATACCTTGGGGCAGCGGCGATTAAGAGTTCGCTGAGAATCGAAGTATGTGATGGAGCGCCGTTTAATATCAACCGAGACCAATGACCAGTGCACTTCTAAATGAATGGGAATCAACAAAAGATCCTTCTGGAAGATGTCCACCTGAAACATGTTTGAACGTGTGTTAATAAAAGCAAGAACAAGAAAAGTTCTGCTGATTTGCTTTAAGGATTAGCACTGAAGAATGGATCCACCTAAATATTATCAGATGTGTACATGTATATGATCTTGTTATATACATAACAAAATCTTCAAAAGTTTGGGGTAGTGAGATTTGTTTTTAGAGAAATTAACTTTTATTTAGCAAGGATGCATTACATTGATCAAAGTGACAGTAAAGATATTTATAATGTTAGAAAAGATTTCCATTTCAAATAAATGCTGTTATTTTGAACTTTCTATTTTTTAAAGAATCCAGCACAAAGTTTTCAACATTGATAATGATAAGAAATGTTCCTTGAGCACCAAATCAGCATATCAGATAGGGATGTCCCAATCAGATCACGCGATCGGAAATCGGGCCCGATCACGTGGTTTCAGACTCGATCGGAATCGGACGTTACCTCCCGATCAGGACTCGGATATATGTAAATTAGGGGTGTAACGGTACATGAATTCGTAATTATTGAACCGTTTCGGGACGAGGCTTCCGGTTCGGTACCCATACAAACCGAACGATTCCTAGGACCATTTTTCCTGCAGACAAAATCCACGCTGGCGCGATCACCACAACGTTGCGCAACATCAAATGGCAAACGTAATGAAAGCGGAACGAATCTTCGCTACTCATTATATTGTGCTTAACGGACCATTTATCAGTTCGGACCAGCAACATCTGTGCAGCGCGAGATCAAGCGACACTGTGCTAAGAGATCCAGTGAAGAAAACATTTGAACTCGCCACTGAAGTAATAACATCGCTTCGAGATCTAGTGAGAAGCATTCAAATTTCTCCGTTATTAACCGTAGATCTCTATTAGATCAAACAGCGCTGCGGTGGGAACCAGGAGAAACATTGTGAACATGGATTTAATGTTGCACTTCAAAACTCAAATATTATATAAATATATATTTTAATGTTATTTTTAATGTGATTACCAAAACATTATTTGTTCATCCTTCAAAGATTACCCCCATTTATAAACCTGAAAGTTTCAAGGTGTAGGAAAACTCAAACTTATTTAAAGGTTTTTCTTTTAATAAATAGGAAATTTCTCTGGCATTTCTTGAACCGAACCGCACATTTTGTGAACTGTTACACCCCTAATGTATATATATTATCTGTTAACAGAGTTGTTGAATGTTAAAATAAGGTGAATTAAATAAAAAATAAGGAACATCCTGGATCTGTTTTTTTCTCTCTTCTTTATTCTTTTTTATGTATTATATAAGTATCGGATCGGGACTCGGTATCGGTAGATACTCAAAATCAAATGACTCGGACTCAAGGGCAAAAAAACCTGATCGGGACATCCCTAATATCAGATATATTTCTGAAGGATCATGCGACACTGAAGACTGGAGTAATGATGCTGATATTAAGGAATATATTACATTTTTTCTCCTATACTAAAATAGCAATATTTCATAATATTACGGGTTTTTTATTTTATTTAATCAAATAAATGCAGCCTTGATGAACATAAGAGATTTCTTTCAAAAACATTTAACATCAAAATTTTTGAATGGTAGAGAACTTTTGTGAGGTAGTGAAGTTTACAGTTCTCTTACATTCTTTGTCCACCGTTTCACTCCATCATAACCTTTGGTCCTCAACTTGTCATAAAAGAAACTGTTGAAGAAGTGCACCTAAAAGTAAATGAGATGACATTAGATACAACTGAAACCACTGAACACAAGTGAATACAACTGAACTGTATAGCAGAAAAGAAAGAATTCAATGGGAGAAATAAGAAAAGAATATTCACCTTTTCAGGCACTGAATCCATCACAAGGTCTCCATACATGTTCATGATCTTAAAAGATCAGATGAAATAACAATGTGTGTATTAAGCAGGCCTGAGAAAAACTAAATCATTAAATGTATCATGTATAACTCAAAACTGACCTGGTCATTGAGCCAATTCTGTCCATAGAGGGTGCTAAGATCATCCATTGAGAGAACATGACGCTTGTAATTCACCCGGAACCCTTTCAACATGGCAGTCCCTGATGACCTCTGGTAGGATTGAATTAAATTTTGCACCACAATCTTCCTGTGGGCACATGGTAAAGAAAAATACTTTGGCTTTCCTTCTAAAGATCTATGTGATACACAGTAGATGCTCAAAGACAAAGAACTAAAAGAAAATGAGTGTGTTTGAGGTTGTGCATAAGTGAGACCTGTGAGTCTGAGAAAAGTCCTCATTGAAGATGCCCTGCAGTTCCTCGACAATATCATCTGATTGTACAGGAATTAGACTTCCATACTTTCGAAGGTATTCATCAAGAAGACCTGAGAAATAAATAAATGCATGCATTAGGTACCACCACCACTGAGTTTGGATTTTACACATTTTAACACCAAGATCTGTGATGACCGAGGAGTATTACATCCATTTTGGCCTGCAATCTTGGCATAACCCAATATTATCTAAATATGCTGGACATTCTTCCATATCATAACCTAAAGAGATAATATGAGATAGGATGTATGTTTCTGCAGCTTCTAGACAACAGGAGTTCTACCTTGGACATAAGCCCTGTGCTCCTCTGTTAGGACCATCTCCATCTTTTGAGTGGTTGGCTTCACGGGTATAGAAAGATATTCCCGAACCCCAGTCACAACTGAATTTGACTGAGAATCCCTACGATAACCATTGAAACCAAAAAAGGGATTTTCTGTGGAGAGAGAACAAACATTAATATAATGCAATTTTGGCTATAATTCTATTTACTTTAAATCAGGGGTTGTCAATCTTTTAGATGCCACAGATCACTAAATATGATCATCCTAATGCGAGAGACCCCGTCCTAAAATTTAAAAGGCAGATATTTTGTTTTCATGTATATAGTTAGATTTATGATTTATTTCAATAAAATTTATATATATTTTTAAAAAATATTTTGACATGTATTGTATTTATAAATGTCAAATGTATTTACTTTTTTTTTTTTAAAAAGTAATGATCTTTTCTATAAACTTTTCAACAGACCTCCTAGTACTCCCTTGCAGCCCCTTGGGGGTCCACATACCCCAGTCTGAAAACCCCTCCTTGAGAAAACAATGAGAAAAGGAAAAATCTCACCTGGTTCTCCTCTTGTTGTCTCCAAACCTATTTGTGATGAGCCCAAGGTGGCACATTCCTGTTCTTGTCTCTTGCTGGCATAAAGGCTATACCGGCGCCACCTCCTTGCCCGTCGATACCCTAAGTTGCCAACCCATTGCGCCCGCTGTCTCCACGTTTTCCAATTCTGCACAAGCCGGTTGCGTAACCTTGCACTAGACCGTAGTCTTCGCCAGCGCTTCAGTCTTTGCTGCCTAAGTCCATGAAGTCGAATCTGGAAGGGATTCTCAGGAAAGTCTCTAGCTTGGAATTTGGCCTCCCCTTCATGTGAGGACATCTGCTGCCGATAATTGTTAGCGAGCATGAGTTGTGGTTGAGATTCAAATGGCATTTGCCAGTCTTCCACTTCATCTTTCTCTTCCCAGGAAGCACACTCAGAATCTATCTCTTCCTCTTCTTCTTCTTCTTCTTCTTCTTCTTCAATATCTTCTTCATTCTCATCAAATCCAAGCTCTTCATCAACTTCTACTGGTTCTATGTACTCTCCAGTCCAGATTCGCTCCTTGTGAGCTATTTTGAGGTGAATGGGGCTGGTGGTGTCGGGAGGGGAGTTTGGATCCATTAGATCACCTCCCATGCCCCCAACGCTGCTGGCCTCCTGGCTCACAGTCAAGGAGAGTTCCCCTTGCCAGCGGTTCTGGGCCAGGCTTCCACCACTGTCTCTCATAGTCCACTGGCAACCTGCTACCTGCGCCAGCTTGCCGTCTGCAAGAGTGAAAAAAAATGTGAATTGGGGTAAATTCAGTACCCTAAAGTTTGTTTCTGATGCAGGTGGACAATTTGCATAATACAAATGTTTTTTTATAACTGACTGGTAACAGGTCTTGTATAATATATGGTGATTGTCAAAGTGGAGTACATATTAGACATCTTACATACATCTCATTTTCATTTATATATGTATATATATATATATTACATTCTGTTTTCATTTTGTCTTATTTAAAAGGATCAAATACAAAAGAGCAAAACACTTCAGACAGAAAGCAAGTATTAGAATTAATAATACATTACATTCTCACAATAATTTAACAATTTCTCCGCGTTTACCCAAACGTGATTCATGAAATTTGCACATATATTCATGCACAATGGTAAAATGCAACTATCAACAACAAAATGAGCGAAGAACATATTATACAGATTCACATCTAGCATGCCTAATCAAAGCATTTCAATAGTCGAGAGAACAGTAGTTCTCATATCTAGAGAACAACACATCTTTTGTGTATTTTGCAACGTCGTTATAAGCCGAATAATCCACGGTTGCTTAGGTAGTTTTCGATCTCTGGCATGTGCAAATTCGCTAATTAGCTGAATAGCTAACAGCTACATACTGTGCAGTCTCTTGATTTATACCCACATATCACTCACCTTTTACGTGCAGGTTTAAACCAATGTAAATTAAAAACACACGCGGCAGCTTTGCCTTCAATTTCAATGAATTTGGGGCAAAGAAACCAGATTGTGCATTACGAGGATTTCCACCTCAATCAATGAATACAGTCGCGGTCTTTGCACGAAACCATGACCAGCTGCTGCGCGCAACTGATGACATCATTGACCTCGTGTAATGCACATGGGTAATGCATGGTGTAATGGCGTTACAGACCCTTGCAAAATAAAGCATACAAATAATACTCATAATAATGTCATATAAAGATACTTACAACATGTTAACATAGAAATATTGGATTAAATCGTGTGATGAAGGAAGTAATAGTAAAATAAAAATAAGTTTCAATTGGAGTGTGCCCCCTTCTTAAAGACACTTTTTTTTTCTGAATCAAGTATGTAGAATTTACTTAGATATTTAATAGGTTTCAAAATAAAATGTTAGTAGGTTTTCAGTAGCTGAATTTAAATAGCTATCCTTCAAATACTTTGTCTCATACTCATCTATTTTCACCTTTTTCTATGCTGTCATTAGGTTATATCGTGTGGTGTTTCCAGCCTGAAGTAAGATCCTATAAGAACATGCTGCATATTTCTAGGCGTCACAATATGATGGGAAGGAAGAACTTAAAAATTGCACTAGTCTGGCTAAATGATGACGAGTCCTTTGAGTTGCAACAGCAGTTGAATCAACAGATTCACAGCAAATGGGATTTCCCAGAACTCAGCTGTTAAATATCTGATGTGGTCCATTATTATATATATAGCTACAAAGGTTTCCACTTTTTGGTTATTGACAGATTAAATTATTGGTCATTGATGAATAGTTTGGTTGATGGCAATGATTGCATACATTTAGAGCAGATTTCCATGCAGTGAAGTTGCAGTTAGTTTTATAGAATCCAATGGGTCATACTTATGGATCACAAATAATAATAATAATAATAATAAAAGAAAAAAGAAAACATGTATAGCCTACATCAGTTTTCTATTGGTAAAGTTAGCATGGACAAACCATGATGTTTCAATATGATATATACAGTATAAATACAGAACCAGGAAGTGAATTGTTCATAAAAGTTATTTGGGTGATTACCTTAAGCCTTAAGGGTAATGTAATACATGATTTCACGTGATCATTTGCATATGTATGCGTGTGTGTGTCTCTGTGACAAGAAGAAAGTCCATAAATATCCAGTCGAACTGGAAAGACAGGATCAGAGAGGCATGACTGAAAATGTCACTGGGGGAAATAGTCTCTGTTTTCAAGTGCTTATGATGCAGGGCTTTATAGTTCACATGTGAGTTCCTTCATGCTGAGTGTACTAATACAATAACTCCAAAGTTTCCTGTCACACCCATTTATTTTCATTTGTCATTAAACAATTGTTGATGCCTTTTATGTCAACACTTCTATTGTTTTAATGTAGCCTATGCCTATAACACGAAATAAGCCAATGTATACACCACGTTTAAAATAATTTATTAGTAAAATGTAAATAAATGGAAAAGCATAATTTTGTCAAACTACTTAATATTCAAAATAAATATAAGTTACAGACACAAATAGACACAGTGTAAAGTTTTATTTATTATAAAGAGTATGAAATAATAATATCTTTATATAGCCTATAGAATTATGATGGGTAATAAAAAACAATAACGTGGTCACTAGTGCCTTTTTTTAAAAGTAGATTTTTGAAATCATGCAGCATAATAAATAAAAAAAACGGGGGAAAGGAAGAAGATAAATATCTACAAAATCTATATGACTGTCAAATTTGGAAAGGAAAACAACAATCATTAGTATGATGTAATAGAAAGGTATAAATCCAGCAGGTGAAGAGGGGGAAGTATTGGTGAAGGGCAGACGACGTGAGGAGGCGGAGTGAGGGAGAACTCAGACCGAAGGCTTTAAAATCACATAGAGACGTCATACGCAGTCTAAAACACCTGTCCTTATTTTAAAAACTACTCTTATAACTTCAGATAAATGATAGTCAGAATACTACTTTTTTATAGGCTGTTCTAGTATGGCGGATTATACCAATATAAACATACGTGAAACTCACTGAAAATGAACGACTTAAAGGACATCTTATACCAGGAGTGCATTTGACACGAGCTGAAGAAGAACTGAAGTGATTCGATTGTGGACAATAACGTCGATCGTTTATTTGTAAGTATACGTTTTTGTTAAGTAGCATTCTTATTCTGCAACAAGTGAATTATATCTTGAAATAAGTAATATTTAATCAAAGTGCACGAGAGTCTAAACTGGTTGGTCAAAACTAAGGATTTTTTTTGAGACTGTCTTTGTTTTTTTGTTTGTTTGGTTTTGTTTTTTATTGCAGAACTTATACATAACTACCAGCTCAGGGAAGTTACAAAACTAAGTATTTACTAGGGAATTATTTTTTGAAAAAGCGTCATTTCCGCTTTGTTGTTATGCTTAAGTTCAAACACTCACCTGGGTGGGCACAGTATTTAAGTCGTCATTGTCTGCTGTAATGGCTGGTTTATAGTACAAAGTGAAACTATGAGTAGGCTATTATTATATGTACGTTTGCGTTCTGAAGCTACATTAAAGACTTTCCTTTGTATCGGTGTATAATAATTCCTCTGTAGTTTATTCTAGTCTATAGGATAGGCTATATATATAATGTTAATCTTTATGCAGTTTTTTCCTACCTAAAGTGTGTAGTTTCAGTTTCAGTGTAGGCCTATGTGTTTTTTATATTTGTTGAAATTACACATTTTGTAAAAAAGAAAAAACTGAACTGACATTATTAATGCTGTATTATTAATGCTGTCATCTGTTTAGCTATTTCATGTTTGTGTAAAAAATGGGGGAAAAATCCCAGAACTCATTCTGAATTTTGAGTGGCCTGGCAACCTTAAAGACTACAACAAATCTCTTAAATAACTGTGATATAATAAGTAGTACTACACTGTTAATTGGAAAATTAGTAATATGTAGTATGACCCACATATTTATTTGTGACTAACTGTCCGGTCATAAGTCACCTGCATATGTTTGACACATTTCTATAGTTTTTGAAGGATTAAAGTCACACCTTTTGACAAAAAATGGCAAACAAACAGAAGCTGTCATTTGTTTCAATGCGCTGGGTTTACACTCCTTCATAACTTTGTAAATGGCCACTCTTTTCTGCTTTCAAGACTTTCAAGGTTTGAAACATATTTGATTACAGTAATGCTGTAGATCTGTCTGATTTATCAGTTCACACCCAGTTTCAGACGAGACTATGAAATGTGAACGGGAAACAACCAAGCCTGGCTTCATCAAGTTGGCTAGAGGAAAACAGGCCTGAATGTTGCAACTTGTTAACTGAAAGGTGTTGTTGTGTGATAATCTTTCAGTGTCCTCTGAAGATCATTTTCTCTTGTCATTCGGGGTGTGGATTTTGGGTGTGTAGTCTTAGAATCTTATTTTGACGCTCTCAGGTTACCTGCTCAGACAAGCCCCCATAGTTTTAGAGTGATCTCTTCAAGTATACTGGCTGATTATTCACTAAAGGTCATGTGTCTGAGTTGGTCTGTATGTTGTCCTAGTTCTGTAAACACAAAAGTGCAGAGAGTTTCTCATTTTCTCTTTGTACGCATGCTGATGGGAGTTCACATACACGTGAAGGCAATGACAGTGCTGAACAGGCCAAATAGTATTTATTTGAGGTTTCATCCTATTCTGCACATAACTTTAAAGCAATGCTTTGCTTACTTGTGCATACAGTATGAAGCTGTTAGAGGGGGATTTCCTTGCCAATACAAACAAGTTAGAATACTTTAGAGAGGTATTCAGTGGTCATTCATAGCATTATTGCTTTATGAGTTTAATTGTATTGAACAGGTAAATCATTCTCTTTTAGACACACATGCCTTGGTTGCCCACATACCTTTCTCCTCATTTGCATCTGCTGAAAAAAGTGGTTTGTTTGGTTTATAAACTTCTCTGCTCCCTTGCTTCAAGTATCAGATTGTTTTGTCCTGTAAGTTGCTATGGTTATATCACTGTCAATCATTGCTGTTTTGGATAGAGTTGTAAATCCAGAAACTTTGCAGCATGAAAAACAAACTTTTATTCAAATTGTATATGGATTATAAACAGACAACGAGCAAAGAGCGCTCCTTTTATAATCACTGAAGCTTGGTGTTTTGCGCTGTGTTGAGCAGATTCTGACTAACTTAAACACCTCTGATTGGCCATTGCGTTCACATGCTCAACAGGTATGTCTGTGATTGGCTACAATGATCAACACTTCGAAAACACATTGGGTCTCATTCATGAAACATTCGTAAATATACGAGTAAATATGAGAGTGATTTGCGCATAAAGAGACCTTCCCGAAAACTCATCTCCTGATTCACATATACTTCGTAAACATCAGATGTGATAGTGAAATGTGTGTGTGTGTGTGTGTGTTAATGAATTCCAATCAGTCGTAAATGGGATGCGCGTACACGCTCATTCTCAATTACCATAAATCCCGCCCATTAAATCCGACTGACAACTATATATGGGCATCATATTATGACACCAAATGAAGGATTTCAACATGTCTTCTCAAAAGCGAATGAAAAAGAAAAATTTCTCAGATGCAGAAATCGAAGTTTTATTATCAGAAGTTCATTCAAAACACCACATTTTATTTTCAAGCGTAGGCTACATAGTGGCGTATCAGGTCCTAAAAAAAGGAAGCTTGGCAGGATATTACAGATGCAGTTAATGGAGTTTCATCTGTTAATCAAACAGTCCCAGAAGTAAAAAGAAAAACCGTATGTAATTACTATATATATTCTTTCAAAATGCTGTGTAAATGTACCCGATTAAGCTGAATTAAAATGCAGCTAGTTGTTAGAGCAAAACGTTCGGATGTTAAACTCACTAGTTAGGCTACGCGTGGCTGGGAGCAGGTGTACATTTCTTTCGTACCAACTAACATTTAGAAAATAGGAACATTTTAATGAATCCGAAAAATTTACGGCAGAACCACTTTACACACGATTTACACAAAAATTCGTTCTGCTCGTGGTTCATGAATGAGACCCATTGTAAATAGAAACCTTTGAAGCTCTTCACAGAGCGCTTACACGAATACACACGGGAGCATTCGAAAGCATCTGCCTATCACCGGGTATTATAAAAAACATTAAAAAAAAACTATGCAAATGCAAAAAAACATTTCTTAATCTTAAAGTTAATGTTAATGTCAACATTTACGAATAGATTTATTCAAATCAAAAATTGTATCTGTTAATATTATTTAATGGACCTGAGCAAACATGAACTAACAATGAGCAGTTTTATTTTTATTAAATTATGTTAACAAAGATTAATAAATATTGTAACAAATGCTCATTGTTCACTAAAGTTAGATAATGCATTAACTAATGTAATCTCAGAGGACCTTATTGTTAGCCTGGCTCCGCCCTCCTACGTACTTCTGCTCAATTTTCATTTTCCTTCAGTACTAATGGTGCGTTCACGTGCTATGGTAATTATGGTAAATATCAAAAGCCGACATGGAAAATGCACATGAACACCCCCTCATGTGGTATTTTCCACTGGGCAACTCGTAGAATATTTTGATGCACGAGTTGCCGAGATGAGATTACCTTTGACCTTTTCAAAATGGCGGAGAGCAACGCAAGAGTTGTGAATGGTAAAAATATGTACTATTCATGATCTAGAAAATATACAGCATATTATTTACCGTTTGAGTTTTGATAAATCATTTTCTTGCTGTAGCAGATGACTTAAGCAATCTAAAATAGTTTTAGCTAAATAACAGGTCTGGATCTCCATCTTTTTACCACATTAGGACAACAAAAGCACTTGAACGCAACACACTGAGATATTTAAACACTAAAGAGATATTTAAATACAGTACTCTATGTGTATAGAACTAGTTTCTATGAAAATAAATACAAAACTGGAAAGTGCTAACCACCAGAAAAATAAAGAATCTCTTTCAATCGAGTCACACTCTCAGATTTTTTAGGGTTTATCGTACTTCCTTTTTTGATCTCATCTCATTGTTCTGTTTGCCTCTCAGAGTTGCTCTGGGACAGTCTAATAATGATGGATCATGACACTCAGTGGCTGTACCAGCTCCTCGCTGAAGTGCAGCTAGAGAGATTCTACCTAAGGATGCGAGATGGACTCAACGTGACACGAATTGAACACCTGAACTACGTTAAAGAAGCAGATCTTGAACAGATTGGCATTAGTAAACCAGGTTTGTCTTGTAAAGCAGTTTTTTATTTGATTTGTTTTGTGTACTTAAATCTCTTTCAGGGCTAAATATAATGTTTCTGATATCATTATTACCTTTACAGTTTTTCACAATTGCTAAGACACGTTTCTTGAAGCCTTCACTCATTTTCTCAACATTAAACAAAACCAAATCTTCAAACTAATTACAAAAAAACCCTGACTTTTTTGGAAAAAATCAAAATCAAACAAACGGCTCAAAAGCATTTCACCTGTTCTCAAAATCAAAGCTTTCAGATCATACACACATCAGTCAATATATAAACACTACAGAACATTCATTAGACACTACATAGCAGCATCCAGAGCATGTAGTTACAAATAAATTATATTGTATAAAGTAAACAAATTTTGCAATTGCATAATCACAACTTGGTAAGGTGAATATATTGTACACTGTATGCATTTTGCAAGTATAGTGCTCTATATCCAGCACTTGCATATTGTAAAAATGCAGTAGTCTAACTACAAAAGCCCAAAAGGTCAAAGAAACAATCTTTTTTTTTTTTTAAAACAGCAAAATCCAGTCCAGTACAGTTTTTCACAATTGTTAAAACACTGACTAAACTCTGTCTTCTGAATCTAATTCTCAATTGCCGAAACCAGTTTGTCAAATAAATCGGTCTTTCTTCAAAACCTTAAACAAGTTCATGCAGTTGGACACCATTTGCAAATCTCATGCATTCTTTTTGCAAAACTCTAAACATTCTCACTAACTAAAACACATTTTGCACTGTGATGCACTGTAACACAAGTGGCAAAAGTGGAACACAACTACCACACAGTTTTCATCGTTTACACACAATGGCCCAAAATGGTGTACTGTAACATGCTTTTCATTTAGAGTTTTCTTTGACCTTTTGGACATGAACTTGAAATATTTGACAAATATGTTTAGGCAACTGAGCATTTGGTTCAGAGAATGGGGTTTAGTGTTTTAGCAATTGTGAAAAACTAATGTAAACTCTTAGAAAAAATGTAAATCGTGTTCTATAGCCATAGGGTTCTATATATCCATAGGGTTTATGACTCAATTTTAAAGAACCATTAATGCTAAAAAGGTTCTATATAAGAAGAAATGTCTTAAATGTTGGTTCAGAGAATGGGGTTTAGTGTTTTAGCAATTGTGAAAAACTAATGTAAACTCTTAGAAAAAATGTAAATCGTGTTCAATAGCCATAGGGTTCTATATATCCATAGGGTTTATGACTCAATTTTAAAGAACCATTAATGCTAAAAAGGTTCTATATAAGAAGAAATGTCTTAAATGATGGCAAAATTCTTTCATGTTTAACATGTTATTTAAACAAATTCTAGTCAGTGATAAAGCATGTTTACAAAAAAAAAAAAAAAAATTAAATTAATTATAACTAAATCCATAAATTGATCCCATGATGGAAACCCCTAGAAGGTTCTATATATTAAGTGCCTGACAGAACCCTTTAAAGTTCTATAAAACCTTTTCTTCTAACTTGTAACATGTTCTGTGTGTCTGTTTGTTAGTTCTTTGTTTTGAATTATTTTCTTAGCTTTGTATTTATTGGGGTTTTCCTGTGATTTTTTTTTTTTGTGTGTGTGTCAAAAGGACAACGACGATTATGGGTAGCCGTCAAACGTTACAAAAACAACATGCGACCAAGGTCGTGGATGACGAAGGTATAGTAGTATTTCACATCTTTACATACCCTCTCTGTTTATTCATTAACTTTGCCTACCTGTGATAATCACTGTCTGTTTTCTGCTAGCCCTTCAATGCTCGCACCCCTGAGGGAAGTGAGCAGCATAATGTTGTTGGGTCAGGCCAGGGGCCAGAGGCAGGCCGCACGTTCCCCTGTCTTATCCAGAACAGTGAACTGATCTTTGGGGACAGGCTAGGCTCAGGTTCATTTGGGGTAGTTAGGAAAGCAGAATGGCACACACCGACTGGACGAGTGGTGAGTAGGCTACTCTATACCAAAAATGACCATCTACGTATGTCCTCTTTTTGTCTACTAAGATGCTTAAACACAGGAATGAATGTCACCCTAATGGTCATGTTTCCCTCTTTTTAAGTTGCCTGTAGCAGTGAAAACCTTGAGGAGTGGATCGTGCAGACAGGACAACATGGTGACTGAGTTCCTCCAGGAAGTTAATATTATGCAGTCTCTGGACCACCCAAACATTATACACCTCTATGGTGTTGTCCTTACTCATCCTCTTAAAATGGTAAACATAACTTTTCATCTAAAATCATATTCTTTACTAATATTTGATTATTTGTATGCATATACATAGCCTATAAATGACTTATTCCCTTTTACTGTTTATTGTATCAGTTCTGCTGACATTCAGACCAAAACATGAATGTGAGTGTGATATTGGGTTTTATATAACAGTTCAATAAATAAGAAGTTAATATTGAGTATCTACACAGTTTAGATACAATATTTCCATTTACTTTTACTTGTGCTCCGCTTAGGAAACAAAGGTTCAAATTACAGCAGAATTAACCACTGCACATTCCTCAATGAATCAGTGTATTTGAGCGAATCTGTTGAACGAATGATTCAATGACTCGCTTGTAAAGACCTGAATTAATTGCGTTTCTGAACGAAACAGTTTATTCAATGATTCAGTAATTCACTCATAAAGGGAATAACTTTTCGCTACATACTGGCGCAACAATGTAACTTGTAGAAAGTACAATACAAAATAACATTTTTATATTAGTATAACATCTTGGAGCATACAATGCATTACTTTTCGGTCATTTGTATTTTACTTTACATTTGTTTGTTTTTATTTTACATTATTGTAATCCCTCTTAGAGAGTGGAGTAAAATAAAACTGTATAAATTTGATATTGTTTAAAGAATGTACACTACTGTTCAAATATTTGGGGTCAGTGTTTGGGGTATTTAATTTGAAAAAAAAAATATATATATATATAAACAAGGATGCATTAAATTGATCAAAAGTGACAGTAGAGACATTTATTATGTTACAAAAGCTTTCTATTTCAAATAAAGGCGGTTCTTTTCAAAGAAAGAATCCTGAAAAAAAAATGTATCATGGTTTGCACAAAAATATTAAGCATTGATAATCATAAGAAGTGCTGGTGATACTAAGATGGATACCATAATTACACTTTTTCTTTTTTATCAGGTGACAGAGCTGGCTCCCCTTGGTTCTTTATACGACACTCTGCGTATACGGCAGGGAGAATATCCTCTTTCACGACTCTGGCTCTTCAGCACACAGATTGCTGTAGGTATGGAGTACCTAGAGTCCAGACGCTTCATCCACAGAGACCTTGCCGCCCGGAATGTGTTCTTGGCTGCTAGAGAGCAAGTGAAGATTGGAGACTTTGGACTAATGAGAGGCTTGAATCTGAACAAAGACCCCTATATCATGACGCCACACAAACGCATCCCCTTCGCATGGTGAGAAGCTGAATTTAAGCACAGCAAAGAGTAGAAACAGTGAGCTTCATTGTTTCACTATTACACAGTTAGGTCAAGGAAAGTAATTCCAGCCTCCTTTCTCTAGGTGTGCTCCTGAGAGTTTGCGTGTGGGTTCTTTCTCTCATGCTTCAGATGTCTGGATGTTTGGTGTCACATTGTGGGAAATGTTCACTTACTGTGAGGAGCCCTGGTTGGGACTGTCTAGCAGACAGGTATATAGTTGGTTTGATGCAGTTAAACTGTAAAAAAATGATGTGTTTTGTTTATGAAGTGCAGCTGTAAACGCCACTATTTCCATTGGTGACTAATGGATGCGTGTTGTGTCGTGTAGATTATGTGTCGTGTAGAGCGGGAAGGTGAGCGGTTGGAGAGACCTCCAGACTGTCCGCAGGAGTTGTACTCTGTAATGCGCAAATGTTGGGCCTGCAGTCCTGCTGACCGACCGACCTTCTCACAGCTCACCACCATGGTAGCGGATGTAAGTGTTAAGCCTCTGCCTCTCATTAAAAAAAAGAATCGCATTAATATACACTACTGTTCAAAAGTTTGGGGTCAGTAAGTATATATTTTTTACCAGATAAATGCAGCCTTGATGAGCATAATCTTACCAACCCCAATCTTTTGAACAGCACCACTTGTGCTATTGATATTACAAAAGATGTATCTAAACTCAGGATGTATTCTTTCTCTAATTTCTCTCTCTCTTTAATGTATTTTCAGGCACAGCCAATGGAGGTTCGTGCCGTGAAAGATCTCATAGATCCCAGAAAACTCTGTCTACAGGCGAATGATCTAGTGACTGTAATAGACCATGGGTAAGAGAGCCCAAGGGCAAACAATATTTTAATGTATTTTTCTTTTTCTTTTATTTACCCCCTTCTTTTTGTTTATTTTTGATATTGTCCTTCGTTTATTTTCTATTGTCTATTTCCTTTACCTTATGCTCTTTGGCAGTATTGTTAATAGTCATGCCAATAAATCTTAGTTGACTCTGACTCTGATAAAGGTCGTTGTGGGTAATTATTAACCTGTCTCCCCTCCCTTTGACTTAGTAGCATTCCATTCATAGTTCAACCCTTTTGTCTGACTCTGATGCAAACCACACTTGGACAGTACAAAAATTCAACAAAATTGAATTTGACAGAACAAATTCCTTATAATTTAATAATTACAGCAAAACCAATGGGTACCAATGACTTTAAACAGTTTTAAATACAGTATATATTAGTGACATTTGATACTATTGAAATAATATGCATATGCAATATGCAATATGCATTAGCAGATAGATTTCCAAATATACAAATATATATATATATATATTGAAGTTTGGAGTGCAAATTAAGAACACAGATGTTAAAGCAGGCCAAGACTTGACGGAAAATGGAAGGTGCTGTGGATTATTCATCTAAATGTATTTGTAAATTAAAAGTAGAGAAACCAAATAGGGCTTTGTGGAAGTCATATAACTGACTATGCTATGCTCTTCTGTTTCCTCATAGGCTGGAAATTTGTGAGTGGAAGGGGCAAAACCAGAGAACTCTAAGTGTTGGCTGGTTCCCCCCTGTGTTAGCTGCCCCTGCTCTCACAGCAGCAGCTCCTGTGTCTGGTCCGACACGCAGCTGCCCCCCCCCAGAACGACCAGATGAGTGAGTGACATTTTAAATGAAGTTGTAAACTATTAGGGTTGAATTTACTAAAGAGCTGAATGTCACTCTAATGGGACTGTTTATGTGACTTTTGTCATTCAATGTGAACTTTTCAGCTCCAGACGTTGGAGGATTCCATTAGCAAGAGATAAGGCATGCTCAAATCTGAAGAAAATGTCAGGTTAGAATTTAAAATATACTGTAACAAACTTCTTACATTATCATTTGAGTATTATTGAAGGCCTGAACGTACTACAAAATAGGCTATTGTCTTGTACACATACACTAGCATTCAAAAGTTATGGGTTGGCAACATTTTTTAAAGAAATCAATTCCTGTAGTCCTAAAGGATTCATTAAATTGATAAAAAAGTGACAGTAAAGACTTTCACATTGTTATATAATTTTTTTTATAAAAAAACCTTTCTATTTATCAAATAATTTTGCAAAACATGTCATGATTTCCACAAAAATATTAAGCAGAACAACTGTTTTCAACATTGATGATAGTAAGAAATGTTTCTTGAGCACCAAATCAGCATATTAGAATGATTTCTGAAGGATCATGTGAAACTGAAGACTAGAGTAATGATGCTGAAAATTCAGCTTTGCCATCACAGGAATAAATTACATTAAAATATATTCAAATAGTTATAACAATATTACTGTATTTTTTATCAAATAAATGCAGCCGTGCTGAGTATAAGAGTTGTCTCTTATACTCAGCACGGCTGCATTTATTTGATAAAAAATACAGTAATATGGTCATTAAACAATCATTAAAACAATCTTACCAACCCTCAAATTTTGAATGATAGTTTATCCAATCCCATTCTGTGTCTTACTCTCAATCTTCAGGCATATCGATAAGCCTGGAGTCCATCCTTGATGTTTCACAGGACAAAGGTCAAGGTGGTGGTGGGAATGGAGCTCAGAGCCCTGACCCGCGCAGACTCATGCAGAGTAATTTGATGAGAGATCCCCGCAGGTTTAGTGATGCTGTTGTCATCCCACCTCCACGCCCACCACCCCCCAGCATCAAATGCATCAGCCCACCAACCAGCAGCTTCAAACCCCAGATGATGTTCCATGATCGGAGAACAGCAAATCCAGCTGGCTGGACCCCTCAAACTCATCCACAGCTACAGACACAGTTCCAATTCCAACCACAGCAGCAGTGTTTAGGGACTAACAACCTTGTCAGGATGGCACATCTGGCCAAGTCAAGCCCTCAGTTAGATGATGGCCTTGAGAAAGAGAAGGAGAGAGAGAAGGAGCAAGAGAAAGAAAGAGAGCGGGACAAGGGAAGGGAGAGGTATCCACCACAAGTAAACAAGGAAGCAGTCATAGCGCAGGTATGCAGATTTCTTCATGTTCAACAATTTTAAAATATTATAAATGTGATTGCAGTACTATTTATATAAAATTTAATAAAGAACTTACAGATATATTTATTATATATAATTAGTTTATATATATATTCAGAGACTACCATTCAAAAGTTTGTGGTCAGTAAGGTTAAAATAAATAAATAAATAAATATTATTTCGCCGTAGAACATGAGGACAACACGAGGACAGAAGAGCTGTCCGTTAATGAATGGGAAAACAATACTTACATGAAAAAATGACTTTTATTTGTATTTCGTAGTAAATTTATAAGTAATGTGTTTTAAAAAATATATTTTTTGTTTATTTTTTTGTGTAATACAATTCTCTTTTGTCATCAGGTTCAGGAGGCGGTGCATGGAGTGACCATTGAGGAGGCTCAGAGAGCTCTGCATCGTAATGACTGGAATCCTGCACGGGCGGAACAACAGCTTAAAGTAATAGAGAATTAACACTTGTTCAAAGTAAATGATTTCATACATTGCATACATTACTTTGATGGTCTATGTCATTCTTTTGGGTTTTCCTTGCATCATCAGACAGACCAGCTCTATTACATGAATCAGTGCTCTCGTGAGGAATGTCAAAAAATCCTCGCCCGCTACAACTGGGACCTGCATGTGGCAAGCCGTTACGTCTTCCGACTGGTTAAAGACAGAGAAAGAACTGCAGTGGATAGACGAGGAGAAAGAATTTAACGCAAGACAATGTCAAGCGTTAAGATTGTTCATAATTATTGAGGATGTAAAGTTTATTGTGATATCACTGAATTGTCAAGAGGTCACACAAAAACTCTCTTTTTCTTCCCTGATCAAGTTTCCATTCATCGCCAATGTGAAACTATCTATAGTGACTGTATTATTGCGTGAAACTATCTATAGTGACTGTATTATTGCTTGATGGATAAACTGGTGATATCAGTTGTTATTTTACATATGTTTGGAAAGACAGCATAATCGTTCGTATTAAATGCACAATGTTTTTTAACAGTTGCCATTCCAGTTGCCATTGTGACTGCTTATTGTTAATTTACAATTTTTTTGTATTCAAATAGTTTGTAATATGTGTATGTGATAAATTCAGTGAAACAGTGTAAATGTATATGATTTATGGAATGTTAGAAATAATTGTATATGTTTAATAAAGTAAAACTTGCTTTTTTGCAGATTTTCATACAATTATTAGAAATTAAAACCTACAAGGTTATGGAAAATAAAATGCTTTGTATTTTCCATAAAGAGATGACTCGATTTTTCACCAGTGTTTTAACGAACATTTTCCACATAAATACCAAGTTAGCCTATATTTATCACAAGAACAAAGTGTGCCATAAAATGCTGACAGAAAACTACCAGTACGTTATTGTTTCTGCAATTGTAAAGCATTTTAAACCTGTGCTTGTATTGTGACATTAAAACAAGACCTCATATGGTACAAGAATGTTCATTAACAAATAAATGTCCTATTAATTTTACATCAATACTTGAATGGGAAGTGCAAGGCTGAAAAGAAGAGTTGCTGTACCCAGAACAACCACAATGTGTCATAGTATCACAAATGTCTTTCAAAGAGTTATAAATGTAGGCCTAGCTACTTCCATACTGTAAATATATGTTCTGTAAAGCCTATATAGTGGCACCATATACCGCAAGGAAACCTCGCTGTCTCCAAAACTTGCCCAAAATCGAGACATTTTTAGCAGACAAGATGCCAAGCCAACATTGGATTTCTCTAGGTGATGTAGCAGTCTACAATTTACTCTAATGTGATGAATGAACTGAATGAAATAATCTTTACCGAGTCATTATTTTGATTAGCCTACTGTTATGTTATTGCCATATGACTGCATTTCACTTCTGCTATCTTCTATGAAAATAGTGAATTTCTATTTCAAATAAGCCTAAATGCTCCTCCTTTGAACTTTTGGTTCATTGAGAAAAAAACAGTTTCCCAAAAAATATTAAGTGGTTTTTTTTAGCACCAAAACAGAATATTAGAATGATTTCTGAAGGATCATGTGGCACTGAAGACTGGAGTAATGATGCTGAAAATTCAGTTTTGCCATCACATTAATAAATTACTTTTTTTTAATATAATGGATTTGAAAATAGTTATTTTAAATTGTAATTATATTTCACAATGTGAATTGTTTTTACTATATTTTTGATAAAATCTTATCGACCCCAGACGTTTGAACGTTAGTGTAAATTAATTATTATATGTATATCAAGCCATTGGGAAAGTTTAAGCATATTTTGGTACAATAACAGGAAAGTGAATGAATGGAAATCGAAATATAACATTTTAAATAAATTATTTGGTCCAGACATGCTGAAGACACTTTGAGGAAAAGTAACTGATTAATTTGTGACTAGAAAATAAAATCTTTTATTTTTTATTTAGTAGGCCTAGGTCATTTTAGTGCTATTGTTGAATTTACCAAACAATAACGCATTCTATATTCATTATCAGTGCGAAATTAAAACTCGCAAGTGGCATTGACCAAGCTTGTCCGAATATGGATATGTTCCAGGAGAATTTGGATATTATTACTAAAATACTTTAGAAGGACATCACCTAATTTATAGAATGTATTTAGACATTTATCTGATAATTATTTAATCTTGAATATTGCAAAATATGATTCCAGGAAAGGTTATAAATGTAAGTAAACTGGTTAGACAAGAACAAGTCTATCTTGACTTCCCATCCCACCTTTTTGACTTCCAATTCCTATGTGCCTTGGCAGCAGTATATCGTCAGTTCTGCCTGGAGAGCTAAATCTGATTATGAAAGCTAAATACTAATTATGAAAACGAGTGACAATAGAAACTGACACTTTCAAGAAACACGACCGAATGAGATTATATTCAGTAAATTTGGTTAATATCTGTTGTACAAATGTAACTACCAAGTTATGGAAAACACATGTCTGAATATTTCCTTAACAATGCATAGGCTTTCACACTAGTGTTGAAATTCACTGATGATGAAGGTAAGTGGACAGATAAGGCCCCATGAGCCATTTACATATACACTACCGTTCAAAAGTTTGGGGTCAGTGAGAATTTTATTTTTATTTTTTGGAGAAAAGAAATCAATACTTTTATTTATCAAGGACAGTAAAGACATTTATAATGTTACAAAAGATTCTATTTCAAACAAATGCTGTTCCTTCCAAACAAAAACTTCCTATTCATCAAAGAATCAAAAAAAAACTGTACAACTGACAGACCAACAACTGTTTCAACATTGATAATAATAATAAATGTTTCTTGAGCATCAAATCCTCATATTATACTGATTTGTGAAGGATCATTTGACACTGAAGACACTGACACTGGTGATGCTGAAAATTCAGCTTTGATCACAGGAATAAATTCAATTTTACTATATATTCACACAGAAAACAGCTGATTTACACTGGAATAATATTTAATACTATAACTGATTTTTGTTGTATTTTTAATCAAATAAGCATGGTTAGCAGAAGAGAATTCTTTTCAAAGTATTTAAAATCGTACCGACCCCAAACTTTTGAACGGTAGTGTATCTGGGTTTCTACAAAAGTTGCCTGCCTGCTCTGCATTTTTCTCTATGACAACATCAGTATGGCCTATCTATAGTGTCATCATATACCATACCATCACTCAGACCACATCCATAATACCGAGAGAAACGGAGATCTCTGAAAAGCACACTTCATCAAACGGAAAGCTGAATCATCAAATCGTTTGCAGACATAAAATGTGGATTTGCATCATGTCCTTATTAATCCATAAAATCTTGAAAGACTGCACACTGGCTCCTCAGAGACTTAAAATGGAATTATGACAGAGAAGTGACTTTGCCCATTTGAGGTAGATTCAATTAATTTAGGCCCTTATGCTAAGTATCTTATGCTCAGCAAGGCTGCATTTATCTGATCAAAAACACAATACAATTGTAATATTGCTAAATATTATTACATTTTAAAATATCATTTTTTATTTATATTACTCCAGTCGTCAGTGTCACGTGATCCTTCAGAAACCAATCTATTATTCTGATTTGGTGCTCAAGAAACATTTGTTTTATTATTATTGATGTGCTGCTTAAATTTTTTTGTGGAAAGCATGCAGCATTTTCCCCCAGTATTCTTTAAAGCATAGAAAGTTCAAAATAACAGAATTTATTTAAAGTATAATTCTTTTGCAACATTATACAGTAACTTTAACGCATCCTTACAGAATTAAAATTGTTAATGTCTTTCAAAAAAATTACTGACCCCAACCTTTTAAAGGTAGTGTACATTTCGAAGAATGCTTACGTTTGAACACAGATGAGAATGGTAAAATATTTTTAAAGCCACAACATTTGAAGTTAAATCTTTTGTAATGTTACACAAACACAATTTTACATATCATATTGTCTTATGTCTTTCCTCTAATAATTATGTAGCTGTCTCCTCTAATGCATTAAAGCAAATATCTACAGTATTTGTATTAAGCATATATTATTTTCCATGCAAAAAAATAAAGAAAGAAAGTTGGGAGTTTACCGTACATTTAAGTCTTAAAGGGCGAGTGCCCTCAAACTGAGCTTTTCAGGCTGAGTGCTAGGGATGGGATGGAGAATGGTAGCAAAAAACAAACAAACAAACAAATCCCACTAACAAGTGACCCTCAAGGAAATGATTAGAAAAAAAAGCATTTCATGATCCCTTTAATACTTTTAAAAATAAATTTCCACCTTTGTCAAAGAACAGGATGTCCTATGAGGAGGAAAAAAGAAAGATAATGAATGAGATTAGTCCAAACTAAAATCACTACTATAATATGGGCCAGATTTAATAAACGCATAATGGATCAGAACATGCCTTTTACCAGATTTAAATATTTAAATACTCTCCTCCCATAAATTTTGCGTCTAAAAGGGAAACTCCAACAAGTGCATAATATGCAATAAGGTCAGCCATAAAAATAATTGTGTCCACACCTTTTCATCGCTAATTTTTCATTGCACGTCTTTAATAAATCCTGACTGTTTAATGCCAAAAGAGGGTTTGTGCTAGCGCAAACTGTTATTAAATCAGGCCCAATATATTTTAACACAATTAATTTCCAATAAAGTTTAAAATGCCAGATTTGAATGAACTTCTCTAGCATACAATATGAAGACTTGCCATCTGAAATTTTCTTCTAGAATGATCATTTTTATCAAGCTTGTATGTTTATGTTCAGTTATTATTCACTGTAATGGCAATGACAATACCTATTAATTGTCATTAAAGTGACATTACTGAACTTAAGGCGAGACATGGCAGGCAAAACGACTCGGTTACTAACGTAACCTCGGTTCCCTGAGAGGAGGGAACGAGTATTGCGTAAGTAGCTTACGCTATGGGAAAACTCCTTTTCTCGAGAAATATTGAAGTCTTTATGTAAAACACATTGCAGCAGCACAGCATAGGCCTACAGCAATGAGCGATAGAGGCCTGCATTTCAGCCCGAGCCCGACGGGCCCCGACTTATTTATGCTCCTAGGGCCGGGCTTCGGGCCAATTTTCACGTCATAGTTCACACGCGGGCCGGGCCTCGGGCCTGTTTTAGGCTTATCTTTTTTATAGCCTATTTTAGACATTAATTAAAATAAAACATGAGAAGATGACGATTGAAAAGCAAACATAGAAAGACGTTTTATAACCTATCACACTGACATAAGACTGACACATGACAGTCTGCTCATGCTCACGCTCACGCACACACACACACACACACACACACACACAGGTTTCCCGGCGGCGCGATCTGAGATTCGCGCGACCGGCTCGTTCTAGTGTCCCGCTATGGTAGCGAGCGTGACTTCAGCGCAGCTGGAAAAAGTACGACTGGATTAAAACCTTCCACTGTGGATGCTGTGCTTTTTCTTCACGATGCTCTGAGACTGTTCTTAGCCATGTTAGGAGGAGGTTGTTTTTTGTTTGATTGGACTTTATTTTCATGAGTCTGTTGGAAACTATTGGAAATGGCCATGTTCTGTAGTGAAGACTTGATTTTTGAGGTAAGATAACCTGCATGTTTGTTTTTAATGTAATTTATTTGATTTGTTTAGATTGCATTCTCTGTATTGTAGCCTATATTATAAATTCATTTAGTTTGCGAGCGCTGTTGCGACTGAGCAGCAGAGCAGTTTGCCTCAGCTTTTCAAAAATGACAATAAACGTTTAAACTAACGTTAACTGTCTGTGTGATATGCTTAAGTTGTTTTATATCTATGGATTTTATTGTAGCCAAGTAAAGTGTTGATTTGAGAGGCTATAAATCAATCAATGGATCAAACATGTTTAACTCGCTGTCGGCTGCTTGGTCGTCATAAATTTTGTTTTTTGTTTTTTCTTAATTAACTTTATAAAGAAATGAAAATAAACCTACCGGTAAATACTTTGCCATTGAAAACAAAATATATCTGGTTGGTTTACTGACTGCAACATAGGTCAGGCTGTTTATCTTTTTTTTTTTCTTTTTTTTTTTACGGGCTCGGGTCGGACTCGGGCTGATCATTCTGATGAGCTGTCGGACACGGGCCGGGCTAGGGCCTGAGCGTCTCGGGGCAGGGCCGGGCTAGGGCCTAGATTTGAGGCCCGTGCAGGGCTCTAATGAGCGAGGCAGCTCGGTCATTGGCTGTGCCGCGGCAACTGCATGAACCTATGACGGGGCGACTCTGAACCCGCTTCCAATGAGCGTGCTTCGCACCCGCGCGCGTCAGAGCCCGCCAAGATGGGCGTGGCCAAGGGCTATATATTGGGCGCCCCGTCGTCTGAAGCGAACTGACCAAGCACAAGAACGGCAGCTTACGCAATACTCGTTCCCTCCTCTCAGGGAACCGAGGTTACGTTAGTAACCGAGTCGTTCCCTTTCGAGAGGTTCCTCCTATTGCGTAAGTAGCTTACGCTATGGGAACACCATGTAAAACGCCGTGCGTGCTGACTTCGCTCTATTAAGCCAGAGACAGATGGCTGAGCTTTTAAGCAAAGTAATTATCCAACGAGCCGGCCGAAGGCGGGCTTTATAAGGGACAATGTAGGACGGCCCAATGGGCGTCCAGAGGAAACACACAAGCACATTTTTATGTACTGATATGCATGAAAAATCCTCTAAGTCAGACATAAACGGACCCTATAAGGGAGGAGATAATGCTCAGCATGTACACACTCCAGCCTATGCATAGTTAGACCGACAGTATGTTGGAGTGGAATGAGGGGACATGTAGGTTATAAAACCTGATAAATGTTGACGGTGAGGCCCAGCCTGCTGCCGCACAGATATCTTGAATGGGTATCCCACTCGACCACGCCCACGAGGAGGCCATGCCTCTCGTAGAGTGAGCTCTGATGCCCAGGGGGCACTGAAGGCCATTGGCTTCATAAGCCAGCGCTATAGCATCAACTATCCAGCGCGATATTCTCTGCTTTGAAACAGCGAGACCTTTGGTGCGGCCGCCAAAGCATACGAACAATTGCTCTGTCTGTCTGAACAAGGCAGAACGTTCCAAATATACTCTGAGCGCCCTGACCGGGCAGAGTAAATTAGCGTCGCTTTCGTCTGCTGGAGACGATAGCGCGGCCAGAGATATCACCTGTGCTCTGAAGGGTGTAGAGAGCACCTTAGGAATATACCCGTGTTTTGGGCTGAGGACAACTCTGCTGTCGTTAGGTCCAAACTCCAGGCAGGCAGTGCTTGATGACAGCGCGTGCAGGTCGCCCACTCTCTTGACCGAGGCGAGAGCCAGCAAGAGAGCAGTTTTGAGCGAGAGCTGTTTAATAACTGTCACCGTCCCACAGGTGGGACGTTTGCCATTATATTTTTAAAACAATAATATCTTAGTTAAAACCTTAAGTAATATCGACAAACTATATATCATTTGAAAGCTTACAATCTCTAGTTTCCATATTTGGTGATTGATTTTCAAAATAAATTACAGAGGAGCCGTAATTTATCAATTTGCAACAAGAATATTTTCATACTCCTAAGGCGTGTTCAGACCTTTATTTTGAAATAGCAATGAACATGAAAAATCATGAAACAAATTGTAGAAACCTAGTTTGTTTTCATGCCAAGAGTTCAAAAGATAGCATCCATTCATTTATTTTAGAAAAAAAGGTCTGAAAATTGTTTAAATATAAAGAAAAAAATAATAAATTCACCATTTGTGATGTGGCAGCGAGCTATGACGCACATGCGTGTTCTTTGTATGTGTTTATTAGAGGTTGAATTCATATCAAAATCTGCCAAACTTCCCATACTACTTCTGAATAGGATCTCTACTTCATAAATTGTATGAAAATTGTGGAAATAATGGTTCATATCACTCAAAACACATATGGAAATGGAGGCGCCCTTATATGGGCAGTAATGGAGTCTGGTTGTGACCTAGTGAAAATGTTTGGTACTGCGCCCAAACAAAATCTTACTGAAAGCTAATTTTTTGAGATATCAACCTAAAATTTGAAACACAACTTGTTCAGATTTTTGGCTTTGATTTTTCTGCAGTTTTAGAGTAGCCCAGGTTTTGAAAATATATATTTTATATAAAATATGAATAATAATTTTTTTTTACATTGTACATTTCCATAAACTCAAACTTCTATAACTTTTTTTCTGTTTCACTTTCTTAATTTATTTCACTTCTACATAAATCTGCCAAATGTCTTCTTTAAAACAAGACCAATCGTACGTCTATATTCCAAAGCATTCTTGAATTACAACCATTTATGTTCGAAATGTGCATTTTCATGTCAATTCAAAAAAAGGGGGGTGACAGTTAACAGGTTAAGGTGCACAGTTCGGAGGGGTTCGAACGGGGCACTTTTGAGTGCGTCCAGGACCGTTGCCAGGTCCCAGATCGGCACTGAGGGGGGGCGTGGGGGATTCATCCTCCTGGCGCCCCTCAGGAAACGAACAACTAGGTAGTTTTTACCTAGTGTACGTCCTTCCACAGGGTCGTGTGATGCCACTATGGCAGCCACATATACTTTGAGCGTGGAGGGGGTGCGGCCTGCCTCCAACAGCTCTTGTAAGAAAACGAGCACACTCGGTACCTCGCATGTCTCAGGGTTCAGGTTCCTGGATTTACACCAGTCACTGAACACCTTCCATTTCTGGGCATATAAGCGCCTCGTAGAGGGTGCTCGCGCCTCAGTGATGGTTCTCAACACTCCACTGGGGAGGTTCCCGGGAACCCGTTGAGGGGCCATGCATGCACCACCATCCTTCTTCGGGACGAGAAAATAGCGACTGTAAAAACCTGCCTCGCTCATAGAGGGAGGGACTGTTTCTATAGCGCCCTTCTCTATCAGTTTGAGCACCTCGGTGCGTAGAACATGAGAAACATCTTTTCTCACTTTTGTCTCGACCACCGCTGTGAAGCGGGGCGGTCCGTGAGCGAATTGAAGCGAGTAACCATGTTTTATTATGTTCAAAACCCATTTCGGCATGCCGGGGATATTTTCCCAAGCTTGGGGAGTTGGGGAAATGTTTAAGACTGTATGGACAGTGCTTATGGGTGGGGGTGCATAGACTGTGGTAGGCACGCGCGCCACTTTCATAAAACTTCCCGCTCGTGGCGGGAGGTTTTTGGCCATATAAACAGTGTTTGTGAGTTGGGGTGCGTGCATAACAGCGGGCACACGCGCTACTCATATAGAATTTCCCGCTTTTACTGGGGAAGTGTTTATAACTGTGGGAACAGTGCTTATGTGTAGTGGTGCATACATGACAGTTGGCACACAATCTACATTTATGGGGCGTCCAGCCTGAGCTGGGGAAGCATTTGGCACTGCTTTGACAGTTTTGATATGTGGGAATGCGCACTTTAGTGTGGACACGTGACCCTTTAATGACACAGACAGAAAATGGCTCTTTATGTGATTTCTGTGTGTCGCCGTAAAAACGGCGTTTGTTTGCAGGTGAGCGAGCTGTGCGGCTGGCCCATTGGCTGCTGTACAGACATTTCCAGCCGCCTGTAAGGGGACTGGGTAATGTTTTAAAAGTTTTGGAGAGAGCGGTCCGGCATTTGCGAGACACGCGCTCTCTCTTTTTCTCCCTGTAGCTAGGAAGACTTACGAGGCTCTAGGTTCAGCACAATCTTGGGCCGAGGTCCCCGTCGCTCGGGCGGTTGCTTCCTGTTGGTAGAGCGCGAGCGTCGTCGGAAGTCAGTTTCAGGTCTGGGCTGAGAGACGGGAGGCGCCGTCTTGACTCGCTGCTGCTGAGGCGGCTTTTGGCGGCTCTGTGATGAGCTAGATCGCTTGGGCAGGAAGTGTCGCATAGCCTGCGAATCCTTAAGGGCTTCGGTGAAGCTCTCAGTGAACTCCTTCACCGCTGGTCCGAACAGGCCGCTTTGGGAGATAGGCACGTCGAGGAACGACGCCTTATCTGCATCCTTCATCTCTGTTAGCGTCAGCCACAGATGGCGCTCAAGGACAGTCAGGTTAGCCGTAGCACGGCCGATGGATTGGGCGGTGGCTTTTGTGGCTCGCAGTGCTATGTCGGTGGCGCTGCGCAGATCCTTGAATGCCTAAGGATCAGGTCCAGACTCGCCCATGGTGCGGAGAAGTTTAGCTTGAAACACTTGGAGGACAGCCATGGAGTGAAGCGCCGGCGGCGGCGTATGCGTGACCGGCGAGAGCTGAGGTAGATCGTCAAGGCTTCGAGGGATGAGAAGCTTTGGCTTTCCATCCAGCGGTGGAGGGTGGACACAGGTGATTGGCCACAGCCTCCTTGAGGGGCGGAGTCCCCTCGTAGCCTCTTTCTTTCGCGCCGTCCACAGAGGAGAGCGACGAAGAGAAAGAAGGCTTCAGGCGAGCGGAGTGCGGGGCTTTCCACGACTTCGTGAGTTCGTCGTGAACTTCCGGGAAGAAAGGGGAGGGCCTTTGCCGAGGAGCCTGCCGGCGCCCCTGCAGGAACCACTCGTCCAGTCGGCTGCGGGCGGGTTCTTCCGGGGAAGACCAATCGAGCCCGAGTTCTTCCACGGCCTTAGACAGGATGCGGACGATCTCCGAGTCCATGCTGGAGCCCGCGCTCGTGCCCGCTAACGTCGATGGCGCGGGGTCGAAGGACGAGCCCGGCCAGTCGTCGGATGCAGCATCAAAGGAAAGGCTGTCATCCTTTTCGTCGTCATCCCCTGACGTGCCAAACGAGACGAGACCCATCGCTCTGCTGGAGGGGTGCTGGTCCGCCTGTGTGAACTGGACTGGCGGCGGGGAGTCTTCGGGTGGTGGTGAAGCATGCGGGGATTGGCCCGGCGTGACGTCACTGCAAACCGCGTGCTCTGGCGGCCTCTGTGAGCGGCGGTTCTTCTTGCGCGGCTCGACCAGAGGGGATGGTAGCACGGTGGAGGTGGGCTCTTTCGCGGCGAAAGCGGTGAAGCGAGCGCGCAGCTCGGTGAGGCCCAGGGCGTCACACTCGGGGCATCCGCCTCGAGTAAGGGCAGGCTCTGCGTGGTCCGGTCCCAGGCAGCGGGTGCAAATGATGTGACGATCCCCGTCCTGAAGAGGGCCTCGACACGAGGCGCAGGAAGGCATTTGAAACAACGCCCAGTTAATTTGCTCTTTTAGAAAAAGTGTCGCGGGGGCCAACACTAGTAGCTTTGAAAGGATATAGGTGATGCGCGCCGGATGGCTTAGCAGAAGGCGACCTCGAAGCAGTCCTGCTGTAGGCTTGTCGACGGCGGTGGTGAAAAGACTCCAAAAATCCGGAGGATCCAGCGAAGAGAAGGTCTTTGCTGAAGGAGATTAAATCTAAAGAACTCAGACGACGGGGCGCCCAATATATAGCCCTTGGCCACGCCCATCTTGGCGGGCTTTGACGCGCGCGGGCGCGAAGCACGCTCATTGGAAGCGGGTTCAGAGTCGCCCCGTCATAGGTTCGTGCAGTTGCCGCGGCACAGCCAATGACCGAGCTGCCTCGCTCATTGCTGTATGCTGTGCAGCTGCAATGTGTTTTACATAAAGACTTCAATATTTCTCGAGAAAAGGAGTTTTCCCATAGCGTAAGCTACTTACGCAATAGGAGGAACCTCTCGAAAGGGAAACATAGTTTTTTTTTCACTGGTCAATTTTGAGATTTTGGGATATTTTTCTTCAATAACATGTCTTCTTTCAGACTTGTGGTGAAAAAAGTCCGAAATACACATTTAGGTCTTTATTTTACTACACTTTGTCTGTTTGCGTCTGTAGATTTCTCATAAATTCATCGCAGATCGCGATCTGACAGACTGCACCCTGTCATCACATACACCGTTAAAAGCTCTTTCTCTCTCTCTCATGCTGTCGGATCCAAATATGGTAATTTCCTTTTTATCAGCAACCAATCGTGAAAGTAAAAGGGGGGATTCAACTCTAAATGCGCAATCTCATTGGCTGATGCTAAATCTTTAAAGCCCGTTTTCTCAAAATTACTTTTCTCTCAGCTACTTCAAGTCCGAAATCAGTAGCACCTATACCAAACTTTCCAGTCTTGTACCTAGTTATATTATGAAGACATTTACAGAGGGATTTGTGAATATATTATTCCTAGACTGATTTATATAACATTTTATTCCAAAAAACATGGCGAAAATAATTTGTAAGGCTATTGACAATAGGCTATTCTGATTTACAGTATAACAAAAGTAGATATCCATAAATCCCTCTGTATTTTTTCCCCCATCTAATATGTGAACACAATGAAAAAAGTATTTTGAATACTTGATTTGCAAAATTTTCAGATTTGCAAATTAGCGCATATTTAATTAGATAATGCCTAATTTGCATATTTAAACATTAAATTACAATTTTTTTCTCATCTTAATGTAGGTAATCAACTGGGAAAGTTTCATAGTGATATCTGCTAGTTAAAAAAATTACCCTATTCACCTGTAGTGTCTCGCCTTAAATATACGAGCTTGATAAAAATGCTCATTTTAGAAGTAAATTTCAGAGAGCACTTAGAGGCTTTTGCATCTGAAGTCTTCATATACAGCTAGATGTCCAGTGAATCACTGAAATCTGTGACTTAAAGGTAATACTCACAATAAGGAAGCAAGCACCCAATAATACAGTCTTCATTTTAACATCCATGTCCAGGGGGAACTGGATACAAAAGTTGGTGGCATCAGTGAAGCATTTCTTTAAGAAACCACTTCGTTGTTTTATGATTCGACCAATTGACTTCCCACCATTCATGTCTTTTACCTAAAGACAGACCTTCTTAGTTGTGCAAAACATGCATTGGTACGCAAAATACAAAACACCTTAACATGTTTGAGTCTATATTTTTTTTTATTCTAGCAGTATAGCATTGCCTGAAATAAAGGTTACCTCAAAGTTTATGTCACCACAGCATTTGATAGGAAGAAAGGGCCCATGGATTTCCAGTAGTACCTCATTGTTGGGGCCCAGGATGGAGAATTTTGGTAAAAACCAGGACCACTCCTGTTTAACATAGCCTATGGTAACTCCAAGGGGAGCCTGTACCTCAATCTGAGGGTGGAAAATTCACATCAAGTAATAAATAAGAAAGGAAAGTATGTGAAATGTGTGCAATAAGTAGACACATACAATTATTTGAGGCACCTAGTTACAGGTAGTTACATAATAGAATTGGTTTGAAACTTGAAATTTGACTGTCATGGAATCACTTAAAGCCGATACCGAATTCACAGTCATTTCAGTTGAACCATTTTTTCAAATGAACCGGGAATTGTGATGCATAGGTTTGTGAGACTTTACATCTCTCGTTGTAGTTTATGTACTAAAACATTCCTTCACAAAGCAGTAACTCTTGTTAAAAACTCAACTATACAAACATCTTTATTAAGCGATTCTGTAAATTGTCACACAAAAAAAAAGTTTCACTGATTCTGCTTAATGTCACTTTTGATGCCAATGGCATCCTCGTCGATTTGTTGTTGTGGTCTAAAGCCTGTTATGTTGGAGCTCCTTTCAATATCTCTATTAAGACATTTTAATTAGATGTTGCATAGGCTAACCCTTGAAGAAACTGATAAAGTATACCTCTTGCAGGAAGCAGCGCATTGGTCTGTTCATCCGTATGACCTCTTGGCCCACGTTGTTTTTAATGTGCATTTGAAAACTGCGTGCTGAACCGAAGAAATTGCGTGTGAAGCAGTCACTTTCTTCTTTGGCATGGTAGATCTCCTGACCGATGCTGTTCTTGATCTCATACTGGTTGTTGGTCTCAAAGCCGGTTAACACTGTAGAAAAGTATGATCAAAGTTTATCAGATTAAAGGGATAGTTCACTCAAAAATTTCAATTTTGTCATTACTTACACACCCTCAAGTTATTCCAAACCTGTATGAGCTTCTTTCTTCTGTTGAACACAAAAGAAGACATTTTAAAGAATATGGGTAACCACACAGTCGACGGCATCCATTGACTTCCATAGTAGGAAAAAAAAAAATACTTTGGAAGTCAATGGCTGTCGTCAATTGTCTGGTTACCCATATTCTTTAAAATATATTTTCTTGAGTTCAGCATAAGAAAGAAACTCATACAGGTTTGGAACAAGATGAGGGTGAGTAAATGATGACAACATTTTTGGGTGAATTATCCCTTTAAATATGGCACAGGTAAAAGTATGCAATCTATCAGAAATGATCAAGGTGAGGACAAAAATGCTTTTAAACATTGGCAGTGCTCTATGATTAAACAAGAAACATGAACATGGCTTGGAGAAGACTCACTTTCTATAAACGATACTTTTTGGTGGATAAGGATCTGGTCTATCTGAAATGCACAAAAAACGAAACAAAACAGGTAGTAGCCAGACATCACACTTTAAGACAAATGTATTGATAGAACGAGAGAGAGAGGCCCACCTGAATGAGGTACTCGAGACCGGGTGGGACTCCAAAAGGTATAGCCAGCGGTGGAACTGCAGGTGCTATAGGAGGATAGAGATACATCATCATTAGCCTTACATTATCTTTACAGCATTAATGATCATTAAATACATCCATTCCACACACAATTTCCTTATGGCTTTAAAATAAATAACATTTGAACATCTAAATATTACATCACACGCCTATAGACATTTATTCTGTTTACCAGCATATGGTTGAATCTGGTTAGGAGCTGGATTGCTTGGACCAGGCGGATTAATGACCAGCTGAACTGGAGCTGGTTGGTTCACTGGCTGGAGCTCTGCAGGAGGAGCCGGTGCAGGACCTTCAGGCAAGAGATTTGGAAGACTGTTTTAGACTGGAGAGCCAATAATAACACTCAGTAATACATTTATTCTATGTTTACCTGTATATGGCTGAACCTGGTGAAGTGCTGGATTGCTTAGATCAGTTAGATTAATGACCAGCTGAACTGGAGCTGGTTGGTTCACTGGCTGGAGCTCTGCAGGAGGAGCCGGTGCAGGACCTTCAGGCAAGAGATTTGGAAGACTGTTTGAGACTGGAGAGCCAAGTTTGAGACAATAATAACACTCAGTTATACATTTATTCTATGTTTACCTGTATATGGCTGAACCTGGTGAAGTGCTGGATTGCTTAGATCAGTTAGATTAATGACCAGCTGACCTGGAGCTGGTTGGTTCACTGGCTGGAGCTCTGCAGGAGGAGCCGGTGCAGGACCTTCAGGCAAGAGATTTGGAAGATTGTTTTGAGCTGGAGAACCAAGTTTGAGACAATAATAACACTCAGATATAGATTTATTCTATGTTTACCTGCATATGGCTGACCATGGTGAGATGCTGGATTTATGACCGGCTGACCTGGAGCTGGTTGCTTCACTAGCTGGATCCCTGCAGGTTCAGGAGCCGGTGCAGGACCTTCAGGCAAGAGATTTGGAAGACTGTTTTAGACTGTAGAGCAAAGTTTGAGACAATAATAACACTCAGATATACATTTATTCTATGTTTACCTGTATATGGCTGAACCTGGTGAAGTGCTGGATTGCTTAGATCAGTTAGATTAATGACCAGCTGAACTGGAGCTGGTTGGTTCACTGGCTGGAGCTCTGCAGGAGGAGCCGGTGCAGGACCTTCAGGCAAGAGATTTGGAAGACTGTTTTAGACTGGAGAGCCAAGTTTGAGACAATAATAAAAAAAAATGTGTGTGCCACTATTTGTATTGATGTGCTTCTGTGTTCTGGATCATTGAATGAACAGACAATAAAGAGACAACAAAGTAAATTTGAAAATATTAACTTTTATATGGAAAGTGGAGCCTTTGTTTTAGTTGAACATTTGCACATCTCAATGTAACACTCAGATATACATTTATTCTGTTTACCTGCATATGGCTGAACCTGGTGAGGTGCTGGATTGCTTAGATCAGTTAGATTCATGACCAGCTGAACTGGAGCTAGTTGGTTCACTGGCTGAAGCTCTGCAGGAGGAGCTGGTGCAGGACCTTCAGGCTGAGGCATGGGATTTGGATGGTCATTTTGGGGTGGACAACCTAGTTTACGATGACAAGAGTAAATTTGAAAATATTAACTTTTATTGTATATGGAAGGTGGAGCCTTTGAGATGTGCAAATGTTCAACTAAAACAATGTAACACTCAGATATACATTTATTCTATGTTTACCTGCATATGGCTGACCATGGTGAGGTGCTGGATTTATGACCGGCTGACCTGAAGCTGGTTGGTTCACTAGCTGGATCCCTGCAGGTTCAGGAGCCGGTGCAGGACCTTCAGGCAAGAGATTTGGAAGACTGTTTTAGACTGGAGAGCCAAGTTTGAGACAATAATAACACTCAGTTATACATTTATTCTATGTTTACCTGTATATGGCTGAACCTGGTGAAGTGCTGGATTGCTTAGATCAGTTAGATTCATGACCAGCTGAACTGGAGCTGGTTGGTTCACTGACTGGAGCTCTGCAGGAGGAGCCGTTGCAGGACCTTCAGGCTGAGGCATGGGATTTGGATGGTCATTTTGGGGTGGACAACCTAGTTTAGGATGACAAGACATCTTCTGAGTTTCAGATCACAGACATCCATCTTTACACACCAAAACTGAATCTGAGTGAGAACGGGATTTGAGGCGAGCTACAGTGGGTGGTAAGATGTTCAGTGAATAACCACTTTGGTCTGTTCATCAAACAAAGCTGTCATATGGCCTAGTTTTAGGATGTTGAACTTAGAAGTTAGAAGGTGACATATACAGCAGAGAAAAAAGAATGTTGAAGCCACTCACGGATGACAGACAAGACACAAACACACAAGGACGTTGTATTCCATAGAATGTGCCAAAACTTGTTAATGTGCATTTCATTCCTGCCATCAGTTGTTTAGACTGAAAAAATGTAATTCAAAGAAGACAGTTCACTTCAAGACAAATCACATGGCACAGTAAAACTGTGACTGCTAACTAAATAAAGACATTATTACTATTATTATTATTATTATGGTAACACTTTAAAACAAGGTTTTATTTGTTAACATTAGTTAATCACATTAGTTAACATAAACTAACAATGAACAATACTTCTTTAGCATTTATTAGTCTTAGTCTAATGCATTTTTAAGATCAAAAGTTGTATCTGTTAACATAATGTGAACTAACATAAACGTGAACATTTTTATTAACTTAGCCCTACATTAAGAAAGGTTAATAAAAGTTAAAACCATAGTGATCCTTGTTAGTTCACGTTACTTAATGCAGTTAATGTTAACAAATGAGACCTTTTTGTAAAGTGTTACCATTATTATTTCAAAAGAATAAACGTCAGTACCTGGTTCTGACATTTTGAAGACAAGTCTGTTGGACTGCACAATCACCTTTTGTTATAGAAGCAGCACAACCTCTGTGGTGATGGAGGGAAAATAAAATAAATTTTTACACAAAATTGTGTCAAAATGAAGGCAGAAACAGTAAATGATCGCCTATTAAAACTCTGCACAAGGTCTTACCTCTTAGGATGCTCCACGAAAAAGCCCAGAGATGTTCCTTGGTGTTGGAATGATTGTTAGGATAAAGGAATTAATAATATTTTGTGATTTCCTTTCGTTTAGCGCAGACGCAAAGACAAATGTTTGTGGCCTATATGCACTTGAACTTTCTGTTTTTATAGTATCCCCTCCCCTTTTCTTACATATTCAAATTAGCAACCTGAGAAAGGTGCAATATTTCTTTTTAATCCTATTACCCTCATGCCTCACATTACTAGTCTTAGCAGATAAAATGTGAGATAAGAGATTTTAGCACGCATAATATACAAAGCACCATGAAATTAATTAAGTAATCTAAATTAGTTATTGATAAAGTGTTATTAACTTCAGATCAGACTTATTCATTCATGTAATTTATTATGTAATTTAATACAAAGTGTTGATCTAATCTGAATTTGGCACCTGATTTTGGTCAAAATAGATACCTAAATCTACAAAAAGAACTACTTAATGATTTATCTAATTATTCCGTTTTTTTGTTTTTTTTGCTAATCCTTTCAATATGAACCTGGGAACGCAGTTGTAATGTAGGTTAGTGGTTCTTAATGAATTAGGGGGCCTCAGCAACCTTTCAAGGGGGCCTCAAGATGACTTAAAATTATTTCAAATAAGACAAAACAAGAATTATAATAATCTAGTTATGCCAAGCTCTAAAATATTTATTGTGAGTGTGGTGGGGCTTCAGATATTTGTGAACAATGAGGTTGAGATCGACTGATAAAGGTAAACTGGCTGTACAAAAAAAAAAAGAGCATCTTGTTGACATCAAAAAATGTTGTCATACTGTCTATCCTGTAGTCTTTGTGTGTGTTTTTGTATGTGTGTATAGAGGTAAACCTAAAGTAACATTCATTTAAGGTAATGCTTCATTCCTCATTTTGTTTAAAATGATTGACACAGATGATTGATTTTTTTAAGGTATTGTAAAATTGTAAATGTTAGTTATTTTAGCTTTGGCTGACATTTGAAGTCCTTTATCCTACATATTGTTCTGCACACTGTAAAAAAACAAACAAACAAAAAAAAACCCTGGTGATTATCTGGCAGCAGAGTTTCCAGAGAATGTGTGTTAACAACAGAAAATGTTGTTGAATTAAAATGATCTGTAAAAAACAAAACAAAACAGTGATTTCACTACACTGCCTTAAACCTTTTAAGTTTAAAACTAATATTTATACTGTGTAAGTAATGCGGAGTATAATATTGTGAAATTATTTCATTTGAGTTCAAACAAAGAATATTTCTTAATATGAAATTAAACACTGCTCAAACAGCTTAATATATCTGAAACTCAACTGAATAAAAATAAATAAACCAAAATGAAACCAAAACACTAACAGATCTCCCTCCTATTCAATAAAAAAACATTAACTTTCAACATTTATTCTCTATTGAGTTCAACTATTCAAGTAAGTGCAATAAACTTTCACTAATAGTTGAGTGAAAATCACTCGTTTAATTTAGTAAATGTGTCTGTTTGAAAGTAAATTACTGTACTTTCGGGAAATAATTTAACAGATTATCTTTTTAATTCGACAGTACTTTTCTCTTTTTTTAACAGACATTCTCTGGAAAATCTGCTGCAGGACAGATTACCGTTTTTTTATAGATCCATAAACTGAATTTACAGATTATTAAATCTGTAATTCAGATTTAAAATCAGATTACTATGTCTTTTTTATCTTAACCCCAAAAAAATTAAAGTAAAATGTTAAAGTAACACTAAAGCAGTGTTGAAGTTAATGAGATATTATTTAACATTAGACACAAGATTTCAGTCGATTTTATAATTTGATTAATATTTACTGAATTTCAAAAATACAGAAAAAAATACACTGCTACTGTGAAATTATAGATTTTTTGTTTTAGAACTTTTCCTAGATCCAGTCATAAAAATCACACAAATCACCAACATAATATTATACGTTTATTATGTATAATGTTACACTAATATTGTACATTATATAAATGAATATAAACACATAGACAAAAAGACACACATGTATATTGATTATGGATGGGTAGACCAGGGAGTTTTGTAACTGTCAGTTGAACCAATTAGTAATTAGCTACCGTGCTGGTAGATTTGATTAACATAGAAAATTTATGATTTATAAACTTTCTATATTAATCATAGAAAAACATAGAAAAATTGTGTACAAAAAGTTTAAACTGATGTCTAACTATTATTGTTACAATGTAAGTGGTAGCCTACTTTAGAGATCAACTCTAATTTGCAGTGTATAATGTGATCAAATATCAAAGTTTAAGGAAAATAGTGACCAAAACACAGACGTTAACTAAAAAGTGTTAACACTCCAAACTCTGCATATTTTTATATTGTTATCTATATTTAATATTCCCATATTGATAGAAGGCCAGTCTCTATATAGCAAACCAGGACAAAAACATTGCCATATGTTATGTAACGACAGAAAACTGACTGAGTAGTTTCACTTAATTTTTAGAATAATTTCCTGAATTGTAATTTGTATTTCATGCTACTCATTTATTTAATTGGCAAACATTTAATATTTAAGACCATCCTAAGATTTGAGAGCGGTTCAATGAGAGGCTGGTTTTCCAAGCGCCCCCTGTAGGACACTATTTCTTCACACACTGAAAAAAACCCTACTAGTCAATACAAATTGACAAATTGGGTTTCTACCAGTTTTAAAACCATGCAACTACTTGGTTGTTTTTTTCCTCAAGTCAGTAACTTGCTAGTTGTACTGCCCACTTCATCATGCATTATTTGGCTGTGTAGGAACATTTGTGTACATTTACAAAAATGCTTTGCATTTAGCACAATAAAAGTGAATTTCCTTCTAAAAGACAGAAAAATATACTTTATGTATGAGGAAAAAAAAGAGAAAAAAAAACATGCATATGGTTTATTTCTAAGAAAAAAGTTAACAAAAACATACAAATGTTAGCTGCTTGTGCTGTAACAGTGATTTGTTCAGTGATTTATTCTAGGCAATGACTGTTTAAAGGCACCAGTGAGATACCTCGGCTGTCATTATAAATATTGCTGGTCATGTGAACACTATAAAATGACCATGAACATGTCCTTCGGGTTCACTGCAGTGGCAGCTTTCTATAAGGTTTGGTTACTTAAGAAAACACAGGAAATAAAGGAAGTCCAGACTTAGAGTTCATCCACAGACTGTGGGAATTTCATCAGTTTAAAAAATACCTTAAATGTTTGCGAAGTGATGAGAGTTAGTTGAAAATATGTTCCTTTATAAGTAACTTTTCAGGAGCTCTAAGAGAACACAGTATTGCGCTGGTTTGTGTCTCCAACTTTTTCAAAGAACATGAAATCCTATGAAAAGAAAAAGAGAGCAAAATCAAAGAGTCAGAACAGATATCCAGTGGGGAAGAATGTGTTCTAGTCCATGTGATTTCTATTTTATTTTATCTTATATTTTTATATTGATCGTAGTTGCATAATGGTAAACGATCTGTGCTCTTATGCATACTAGAATGCCCTCTACGGCATTACAAAGCACTTCAGACTACCATCTAATGTGTGGATCATTAAATGTGTTGTTAGTTTAATACTCACAATAAGGAAGCAAGTCCCCAAAAGTACAGCCTTCATCTTAACATCCATGTCCAGAGGGAACTGAATGCCAAAGTTGTCAGTGTCAGTGAAGACTTCCTTTAACAGGCCGCTCCACTGCTTACTGATTCGACCGATAGGCTTCCCACTACCGTCTTTGCCTTTGAGCTAAAGAAAGAAATAAGACTTTATGGTGAGAACCCACCAGCTTTTGCTTGATTTGCAAGATTTTGCTTGGTGTCATAATAACGTCTGCCTTTGAATTTCAATTTCAATGCAATTCTAAATAGCTACCTCGAAGTTCACATCACCACAGCAGTTGCATGCCAAGCAGGGTCCCTCGAGCTTCATCATAGTCTCCTTGTTGGGCCCCTGGATGGAGAATCTTGGATAACAGGGGTTCCAGTCCTGCTTCACATACCCTATGGTCGTTCCAGGGGGGGCCTGTACCTCCATCTGAAGGTGAAATATTCAAAAGAAGACATCTTTATTTACAGTACATAATACCCAAATAGATTTTTAAGCTAATAGTTGTGTGTGCCGGTAAGGTTCTTTAATGTTTTTGAAATAAGTCTCTTATGCTCACCAAGGCTGCATTTATTCGATTGAAAATATGTCAAAAACACTAATAATATTGTGAAATAGGATTACACTGTAAAATAACTGTTTTCTATTTTAATATATTTTCAAATATAATTTATTCCTGTGATGGAAAAGCTGAATTTTCAGCATCATTACTCCAGTCTTCAGTGTCAGGTGATCCTTCAGAAATAATTCTTATATGCTGATTTGGTGCTCAAGAAACATTTATTATATATTTTTTTAAATCAATTTTGGAAACAGCTGTGTTGCTTTATAGTTTTGTGGAAACTGTGATACATTTATTTCAGGATTCTTAGATAAATAGAAAGAACCGCATTTATTTGAAATATAAATGTCTTTACTGTCTCCTTTGATCAATGTAATGCATGCATTCTTGCTGAAGAATTAATTTCTTGCAGAAGTTTACTGACTTTTGAATGGTAAATTTTTACTTTTGCATGGTAGTGTATATGTAAACTAAATGAACAGTGTGACTGTTGACTGGAGGAGACTGTCAGACTCATTCTTTAGGTCCATACGGACTCTATGCCATTTATAACTCATAAGTCACACACATGTTCCTGTCAGTAGTAGATCACACAACATGTCCTTTAGATGGGTCACTAGCTGAAACCCAACACAAAGATCAGACCCTATACAGTGATTAGATTTAAACATTTCAGGTTTTTGAGACTTAACTAACATAACTAAATGCATTTTTTTTTTTTTTACTTTTAAATCTAGAATGCATGAACAAAAAAAACCACACAAATTCATAAAGCGGGTCAAAACAACCCATATTGGAATCAATGGTTTTCTAGTCCTATTAAAGAAATAATTGATGATTCACAAATGTTTTAATATATCAAACATGTTTATTTCTCCAATTTCCTTGTAGATATAAATTACAAAATATGAAATAGTATTGTTAACCTATCTGAACCTGTAAAATGAAGTCAACTGATTATCCATATGACTATAAGTCAGTGGTTCCCAAACTTTTTGAAAGCATGGCATTTTTCCCCACGACACCCCAACCCAATTAAACGAAACGTACATGTGTACTTGTTTGGCTTGTTTTATCAAAGAACTTGTTGAGAAAAATAAGAATATTAAAAAAATTATTTAAATTTTGTGTCATTTAACCACTGAAGTTAGCTGAGCAGCGTGTGCGATGCTCACTAGATGAAGCATAAACAACAGCATGAATTTATTATGAATGCATCACAACAGGCATAGTAAGACCGTGTCCTAACCAGACGCGCGATGATTCTATTTTAGAAACGGTTTCTATATCTGAGACGTTGCGGCTGCAACAACAACAGGAAGTATGATAATCTCAGGTACTGCTTCCACTCACCTAAAGGATTATTAGGAACACCATACTAATACTGTGTTTGACCCCCTTTCGCCTTCAGAACTGCCTTAATTCTACGTGGCATTGATTCAACAAGGTGCTGAAAGCATTCTTTAGAAATGTTGGCCCATATTGATAGGATAGCATCTTGCAGTTGATGGAGATTTGTGGGATGCACATCCAGGGCACGAAGCTCCCGTTCCACCACATCCCAAAGATGCTCTATTGGGTTGAGATCTGGTGACTCTGGGGGCCATTTTAGTACAGTGAACTCATTGTCATGTTCAAGAAACCAATTTGAAATGATTCAAGCTTTGTGACATTGTGCATTATCCTGCTGGAAATAGCCATCAGAGGATGGGTACATGGTGGCCATAAAGGGATGGACATGGTCAGAAACAATGCTCAGGTAGGCCGTGGCATTTAAACGATGCCCAATTGGCACTAAGGGGTCTAAAGTGTGCCAAGAAAACATCCCCCACACCATTACACCACCACCACCAGCCTGCACAGTGGTAACAAGGCATGATGGATCCATGTTCTCATTCTGTTTACGCCAAATTCTGACTCTACCATCTGAATGTCTCAACAGAAATCGAGACTCATCAGACCAGGCAACATTTTTCCAGTCTTCAACTGTCCAATTTTGGTGAGCTCTTGCAAATTGTAGCCTCTTTTTCCTATTTGTAGTGGAGATGAGTGGTACCCGGTGGGGTCTTCTGCTGTTGTAGCCCATCCGCCTCAAGGTTGTGCGTGTCGTGGCTTCACAAATGCTTTGCTGCATACCTCGGTTGTAACGAGTGGTTATTTCAGTCAAAGTTGCTCTTCTATCAGCTTGAATCAGTCGGCCCATTCTCCTCTGACCTCTCGCATCAACAAGGCATTTTCGCCCACAGGACTGCCGCATACTGGATGTTTTTCCCTTTTCACAACATTCTTTGTAAACCCTAGAAATGGTTGAGCGTGAAAATCCCAGTAACTGAGCAGATTGTGAAATACTCAGACCGGCCCGTCTGGCACCACCAACCATGCCACGCTCAAAATTGCTTAAATCACCTTTCTTTCCCATTCTGACATTCAGTTTGGAGTTCAGGAGATTGTCTTGACCAGGACCACACCCCTAAATGCATTGAAGCAACTGCAATGTGATTGGTTGATTAGATAATTTCATTAATGAGAAATTGAACAGGTGTTCCTAATAATCCTTTAGGTGAGTGTATGTGCTTTATTTAATGCTAAGCATCTGTGGGAGTTTGAATATCATTTTGTGTGTATTTTATAGCCGTCCTGAAAGCAACATTTCACCTCACCTTCAAAATAAATAAAAGTGAACAAGAACTCATTGTTAACAGAAGTGTATTTTATGACAATGATTGTTTGGATTGACAATGAACCAATTATTAGCCTACTTCATGTGGGAATCATTGGAATAAAACACATTTCAAGATTGACACTTAACTCTTTAAATAATAATAGGCTAACCAACACCAATTAAATTTTTTCTTTAGTTTCTCAATTGCTTAGTTCAAACCTGACCTTATAACTTAAAAAATGAAACTAAAATATCTGCATGGAACTGTCGCGGGCATTTTAATGGGATACATGTGCCTTCTTTTGCGAGCACAGCCTCTTGATACGGGGGTAGACTGAGGATAATGCAACTCGTAGATCGTGCTCTACTGACAGGCGCTGCATTTTTTGTTTTTCACGTATGCCAGGGATGAGAACGCTAGCTCCATTTTTGCCCTATCCTGTCAATCTCTGCGTGAAATATAAAATTGAGCGCGCACCAGTACAGAGGGAGGAGCTGAGCGGAGTTGGCGATTTAAACTTTAAATAGGTAATATTTTAAATATATCATTGTTGTTTCACTTGTTGGTGTTTTGATATATTTTTAAAATATATGTTATAAAAAGTAATTATATGGTAGGATAGTTATTTTAGGCTGTTTAAGTTGGAAAAAATGCTGAGATTCTGCAGCACCCCTAGCCAATTGTCACAACACCCACTTTGGGAAATACTGCAATAAGTACTAGTTTTTCTACATCTTAAGTTAGTTCGAGGCTGGGTCCTCTTACTCATTTTCTATGACCTCTGCAAGTGTGGAAAACTTTGTCTTCAGTGAACTCTGTCAAATGATTGAACTTCAACTTTGACTCCTGGGGCCTCATTTATAAAACTTTGCGTAGGATTTGCGTCAGAAGTGGCGTACGGATGAAACATAGGACGTGCGTACGCACAGAAATATTCGGATTTATAAAACCGTGCGCACGCACATCCTACGCATTTTTCCCTTAATAAATCACAATCAATTCTAAATGTAGCGCAGCTTTTGCGGCTTCATGTCACGCTCATTGTTGCCCATAAATAGTCCGTGAAACGCCCACAAGTTAATATTCATCGATTGCGAAATCATGGCAAACATAGAGAGGAAATCAAAAAAACGTAACTTCACTCAATGTGAAGTAGAAGTTATCGTTGGCGAGGTGGAAAAAAAGAGAAAAAAATGTTGTTTGGAGGGCACAGTGTGGGCATTAGCCTACTAATGCCAAAAAGGCACTTGAGTGGCAAAAGGTTGCAGACGCCGTAAATGATGTAGCCTCACAACCTCGGACTGTGACCGAAATAAAAAAGAAATGACAAGCTACAGATGTCGGTTATAATCTACTTGGAAATGGGAAATAGTTCAGCGCAAATGTAATGTCTTGCAGCTTTCTGAATGGTTGAGACATACGTCATACGTTATTTTATCAAAAATAAAACAAACTAAAGGCATATGCATGAAATACCTGCATGAATACCATGATTCCGTAGCTGATAAAGACATTTTTACTATGAAAACAACTTTCCCCAGTGGACAAATAATACATCTATCTATTTATCTATCTATCTCTCCCTAATTATCTATCTATCTGACTGACTATCTAGCTATATCTAGCTATATCTGCTCCGCCAGACGGACACATTGGCGAGAATATCAGTTTTGTACATTATTTCGTTCTGTTTACCATCTTATTTATGAGGATGAATTGTATAACATGCCAATATTATTGCAGAACATATTTCACTTTTCTTTTTGCAAATATGTGTTAATTTGCATTTCTGTTGCAGATCGATCAAACGGGTGTTTGTGTTGGCTGTTAATTGTAATACTTGCTTTAAGTCTTCGTGTTATTTATGAGAGGCAGTATTGCCATTTATTTTACACAACGGTCTACAGTTTCACACACTTTCACGTGTTTCTTTCATCTGCCGACGGTGTCGCCATTTCTCATTTCACCCGTTTTTGTGCGTACGCCTGGGTCAGAGCTTGCGTGAAGGACCGCACATTTTACCGTCAAGTTTGCTTTTTATAAATACCAATTATTGCGTAGAGAGCGGCGTACGCCTTCTTTTGTGCGTACGCAACGTTTATAAATGAGGCCCCTGGTCTTAATTAAGCATACTGGTCTCTTTATGTGGCTTAACTGTAACTCCCTTACATTATTATTGACAAAACGTTTATCCAAAAATACTGTTGAGTCATAATTCAACACACCCACTTTATGCAATCTACGGTTAACCTTACATTAGCTTTGATATGACTTGTCTGTTAGTCATACCTCTTGCAGGCAGCAGGGGCACCAACAGGAGACACAACGGTAAGGTCGGATGAGTCGTATGACCTCTCGGTCAGTGTTGTCTTTGATCTTCATGTCAAAGCTGCGCAGGGCACCACAGCAGTTGCGTGTGCAGCAGTCATTTTTTTCTTTGGCAGAGAAGATCTTTTGACCGAGGCTGTTCTTGATCTCATACTGGTTGTTGGTCTCAAAGCCAATGAATGCTGTAGAGGACCGAAAAGTATGCAGAGAAGTGAATAAAATTGCAACAGTGAATAAAATTGTCTCAGGGTTAAAAAATAGAAACGGGCAGCATGTGCTTTAATTCACATACTGCACTGAAATATAGTAAACAGCTTCAACTACATTTACATAATAAACAAAAAGACTTACCCTCTAACAACTCCACTTTCTGATGAATAAGGATCTGGTCAATCTGAAATGCAAAGAAAATACTAGTAACAAGAAACAAGAAAGATGGCGATGTACCTTTCCTACAATTCTTTTTTAAACTCCCCTTCTATAAAAAGATGAATAATGAATGCTCATCAGGTTTGTTGTGTGTAGTTATTCAATTTTTGAAGGCATCATATTTGTAACATAATAGTATCATATTTTTTGTACATGCAACTTAGCAAATTTTATTGTAAATAAAATAATAGTAATTTCATACATTTCAATAATTTATCATCAACTACAGACGCAGCATCTATTGCATTCACCATACTTTCACACTGACACGCCTCCCAACTTAGAAACTCTTGGCACAGAGAAAAAAAATCCCAAGATTCCCTCTCAGAACTATGACATTGTGGTGGCATTCATGGGAGTTTAACTCGTACATACGATCTTTCCGACATGACTTTAATGCACCAAAAGACATGGCCTACCTGAGTGAGGTACTCCAGACCAGGTGGTACTCCAGCAGGCACTGTCACTGGTGCAGCTACAGGTGCTAGAGAAGGTTGATAAAGGCACATCACAATTAGTCAGCTTGCATAATGCAAAAAATGCTTTGCATTGTCTTCATAGCATTAAAGTTCATTAGAATGTGTGGATATTAGAAAAACAGCACATTTTCAATGAATCCATACTATTAAAATTATTTCAGCAATGTATATAATATTATATACTAATATATATTGTATATTTATTAGGATAATAGTATACACATTAACCTTTTACCTACCACCGTTTTTTAAAAACGCATTTGTAAATTAAGTACAAATTAGACATGTTTACCTCCATACGGCTGGCCCTGGTGCGATGCTGGACTAACTGGACCCACTGGACCAGGCTGATACATAACTGGCTGATCTGGAACTGGCTGGTACCCTACTTGAAACCCTGCAGGTGGGGCCACATATCCTGGATCTCCATAACCTCCCACGGGATAGGGGGGCATGGAGTGTCCGCCTGGCTGGGGCATGGGATACGGAGGCTGGTTTGGAGATGGGTAGCCTGGTTTAACACAATTTCGAATGCAAAGAGAGAAAAGCACAATGTTGGTATATTGCTTATTTAGCTTTACTATGAAAAGAAATATTAAGCAATGATGTAAAAACCAGGAGGGAACAAAGTTTAAATCATAAGGTACAGTATCTGGTCTTGGCTTTTTGTTTAGTTGTTAATTTGAATCACACGTTTGGTACATGCAAGTCTGCTAGATTTATGCCATGTTATGTCATTAATGGGGATGTTTTTGTGCAGATTATGGAGTTGGTTTCGTGCTTGTATGGCTCTTTAAGATTGTGGCTTGAAGTCAGAAACTCTACATATTATAGTCTTTGAGCTACTCTGTTGTTGATTTACTCCCGCCTGTACTTTGTTACTTCGCATAAGTCAGCCTCTTTTTAGTCTTAAATCATAAACAGACCCCCTGAAATGCTGTAGAAAGCCCTGAAGACTTGGAATGTATTCTTCCATTCAAGCTGTCAATGAAAATCCCAACACATTGCCTAATCACTGGGATATGATCGGAGTTGGTATGCAGTGGATTGTAAAATGACTGGAACAACTGACTGATTTATTCTCTTTCAATCAATAAATACAGACACACAGAGTTATGCATGTATGCTGGGTAATTCCTGTATGATTAGATTTGAGATGGTTAATGCAGGCCTCCCATGTTCTGTGGACTGGATCTATTTTAGGCCGTACATGTGAGGCATTCCAATGGAAAAAAACAAAAATAGCCACCAATAACACAAAGGGTCATGAATAATTCACTGTAACAATATTGACTATTTGCAGTCATTATAAGAACACCATAAACAATGCATGTAATTGTGAAATAGAGAAGATGGTAAATATTTAATCACATCAGCTATTTACAACAACCACACTATGTTTTTTCAGACATATAAAGTAGATGAAAATGAGACATTAACTTAGTGTCAGCAATTAGGACAAATATGTAATTTCTGTATAACAAACTTTATTTTATTAAAATATATAATTAATCGGAAATCATCATCTCAAATTGCAACCCTTAAAACGTTATCTTTTATAATAAAGGGAGACCCATGGCAAAGCATCTAATATACAAAGTACCTTTTCTGATGTTTTTTGTTTGTTTTGAAGGCCCAGTTTCTCTGAGTTAGTAATACAGGTTGCATGCAAAAGTATTACAACCTCAAATTATGTAATCTAATTTTTGAGAATAAGTTATAGAATACTTTTGAACACCAGCATCAAAGAACCCCATCAGAAAATCAGTTCAGTAACACGTCCAGTTGGATCTCTCTACCAGATAGCAAACTGTTGGTTTCTACAAATCTTGTAGTTGGTTTCTTGATAATGATGTAGCAATGTTGAGCCAAATAGAGGATAATTCTTTCCTTGCACCCATCTACACAACCGCTCAAAAGTTCTGTTGTTGTTGAGAAATCAATACTTTTATTAAAAATACTTTTATTTAGTGACACTAAAGACTTTTACACTGTTTTTTTTTAAAACAAATTCTGTTCTTTTGAATTTTCTTCTTATGGAAGAATCCTGAAAAAAAATGTACCATTATTTCCACAAAAATATTACTGTTTTTAACATTGATAACAAGAAAAAATGTTTGTTGAGCTCTAAATCAGCATATTAGAATGATGAATCATGACACTGAAGACTGGCTCCTGATGGCAAAAATTTGCTTTGCAATTACAGGGATTAAAAAATTAAATTAAATAGAAAACAGTTATTTTAATGTTTGTGCTGTATTTTATCAAATAAATGTGGCTTTGGTGAGCATAAGAGACTTTTCAAAAACCATCCCTAAACTTTTAAACGGTAGTGTATCTCATAAGTGAACACTGCAGGTGTAGCTTAATATTTGACACGTCTAACCCTCCCCTTGAACAAATCCAGACCTGCCATTTTCCTACGAAGAAGCTCAGCTTTTGAAATCTTTCTGGAAATCTTTCACCAGCCTTTTGGGGGCGGAATGAATTTGAATGGAATAAAGCTCTTTCATCATAAAGGTCTCTCATTCAGGTGCTGTTGAGGCGCAACCCTTAGCATCATGGGACATTATTTGAAAGGTGCCGGCTTTGTGATAGATTGCTGACTTCTAAAACCAAACCACATGTCTGCTATCCAACATTATGGGGCCATTTAGAGAAGCCTTTAAAGACTCAGCATCAAGGATGTTGTCTATTAAGTGTACCTCCACAATCATACATGCACGATCACAAATTATTATATTTCCTACCTAGACAAAATGCAAAAAAAAAAAGAGAAGCAAATCACTGCAAAAAAAAAAAAAAAATGTATTCATTGTGTCCAACTGTGTCAATTCAAGACTGACAGCCATGGGGCAAAGAAACAACAGTGCCTTTCACTGCCAGCGGAGAGAAGACCCTGGCATGCATCAATACGCCTGAGGTCCCCAAAACAGGCTTGCTGACATTTTGCTAGGGGATAAAGTGTAGTTTATTTAAGTAAATTTACTGTTATTTTAATATGCAGTTTCCCCAACAATTCCTGACCACTCACACAGTGGAATCACTGAATTAAGAGATTGTTGAACCAGTAATGGTTAGAAATTGCACCGATGTGGTGGACAGCATTCATGACACATTGCTTGTTGGTGAAGTTATGAAGCTTACTGATAAATGGCAGGGGCGCTTTCTGGGTCGTCTGGCAGACCAACTGAGCTCACATTTAATCTAAGCCCTCAATCGTTACTAATTTGATTCTCAAGACCTGCCACATAGAATTGCAACCTGCTTCCATCATGTTATCTTTACCGTTCATGAATCACATGTCCATTGCACAAAGCATTATGTTAAGTGCTGGGGAAAAAACTCCCAAGTCATTTATCATTCAGACTAGCTCAATAAATTGCCTTCAGACATCCACTATTCCAATTAAATGAAAAGAGAATCATAAGTAAATTTGCGTACACTCTTAAAAATAAAAAGTTCTTTATTGCCATCGATGGTTCCATTAAGAACATAGTTCTTCTGTGGCACTGCTACAACCCTCCCCCAACTCACTCCTCAAAACAGACTTCCTGCATAGTATGACCGCATAATCCTTGACCGTCCCTAATAAAACCATTGACATTTACAAGACATTGACATCACATGTTTTGTGATTGTGTTTTTTTAAACACTCCCTTCTTGCCATTCCTGTTTTCAGTGCTACTTAAATAAACATTTCTTGACTTAAGTAATTCACCAAGACAATGGATGAGGCAAGCACTTTCTTAACATGGACTAAATAGTGTCAGTCTGCTTGGTGAAGCTAGCTTGAATTCCCCAGCTTGTTAAGAACACAGTTGCTCCAAAGAACGACTCCTAATGGGGTTAAGGAATCACTTGACTGCCGATTTAGCAGCAAAATGCAGTCTGGTGTAGATGGGACTTGGAATATTATTTAGTAAGAAAGATAGAACACAATCATCTGCTCTGAATTAAGTGCATGATACATTTACTCTTATGATAGAGCTTGGTCATTTCCGGGATTTAGTGGATTTTCTTTGCCCCGTACAGAACATGATCTTACTCCCTTAAAATAATGAACTATATCAATTTTAAACCAGTCTTAGTCATAAATAACACCAATTGAACTCTAAGCATATTGACTTTGATAAAAAAATTAAAAAAAATAAAGATTTTACAGCATTTTGAACCACCACATATCACCATTTTTTCCTGTCCCCCCTTTTCATGATAAATACAACACTTACTATAAATGATTTTTTTTTCCATTATACATCGTTTGGGTATATCAGTAATGATTCTCTCTAATTTATATTATTTTACCATTTATTAAATTTATTTTAACAATTACAATTGCTAAATCTGTGTTTAGCTTGTCCCTCAATTTATTGTCGAGTCTGTTATTTTTGACTATTTTCCCTTTAAATGAAAATTAAAAAATGTAATTACATCATATCAAAAAGCAGTCATCACTTCTTTAAAGGGATAACAACTTGGGCAAATGAGTGAGAGCCTTGATTATTTTAACTGTCTATTTTACCAATTTTAATTTCCAAATTTGATGTGGTCAACCTCGGCAAGGGCAGAATGTTAAGGGAAATATGATTTTTTGTTGTTGTTGAAAATCATATTTTTAAAATTACAGTTTTAAAGACACTGTAGTTTTTTATTTGATAAACCTGGCTAGTGTGTTAGCTTGTTCTTGCTCATACACTGTGCATTGACGGATTTTAGATCACCTTATCATGACTACACATACATTTATTTTAAAAACTGAGTTTGATTTTCTACATTTTATGATGGCCAACAGGCCCCGAAGAGACCACATATTTACAGATATCAGTTTTGTATGATCAGACAAACATGTACAATAAGAAAAAATAGCTAGGTAAAACTAAAGCCACAGCCATTTCCTGGAAACTTATAAATGTGGAACACAGCCACTTTTGTAGGGCTACACTTCCTGCATTCCTTTCCCACTGACCTCTAGAGAAAATGTTTTCACCTTCAGTTTCACACCTTCATTGAAACAGCACAAATCACACTTGAGAGAAAAAATGTAAATAGACAGTGTGGACAGTTTTCAGCACAATGATTGACAATGAATGAGTTACAGCAGGTGGGTACTGTGGGGCAGCTATTGCAAAACTCATTGGTTGTTTAACTCATTACCTGCTGCATTTCCTAAACTACAAATCCACAAACATGCTGTTGCATTTCAAGGAAAATACAAACAGATTATTGTCATTACCTGGTCCAGACATGTTGAAGACAGATGTGTGATTTTCAGAGCCAACGCCTGTATAGCAGCACCACGATCACTAAGTGGGCGAAGAAAATGTAGGGAAGTTGTGCTGTGAACAATACAATCGCTGGAAACAAGCAAAACAGGTCCAAAAGAAAAGAAGCTCAACTTGAAATGAAAAGACCCAGGTTTACATGAGGAAATACGGAAACCCAACCGGATCTTGAAGGAAATTCGTGGGCAAGATTCGTGCCAAACATTTAACCATAACGATCGTGTTTAGTTTTAGTTTTTTTTTTTGTTAGATGGCGAGAAACACACTGAAGCAATAATACTATGACGTCAGGTCAGGTGGGTGTGGCGACAGATATTAGATTGTGTTTATCGTATGAGTCAAGTAGCCTACACTGTTTCCTCACAAAAGAAAACGGAAAATATTGCCAAGCATTGGCGAAAAAGGAAACGAAATGTAGTAACTGATCCAAAATCCTTACCCCAAATGGCTCTCGAAAAAGAGACTATTTAATCAAAATGAATTAAGATAATTTATTATAAATGTATATAGCCAATTAACAATTTAGCGAACAAAAATACTGCAAAAGGGTTTCCTTTAAAACGTAGCCTACTCTGTATAGCCGAGGCTTCAAAAAGGGTAAAAAATAAATAACTATATGTATATATAAATTTATAATCCACCATAAAAACTCTCACTTACATCTCAGCTCCTGGGGCAGGCTTGATACTCCTCAAACAAACCTTAGGGGAAAAAAAATCTCCACAGAGTAGTTATTGTTGTCGCAGTGATTATTCGGATTTATGGAAAGAAGAGTTTTAAATAATTTTCTTCACTTTCGCTATACACTTTTGCTAAAAATAAACCGACTGTTTGTATCGTTTTAACACTACGCCCAAACATGAAGCATTTGTTTTCAATATGAATCAGACTCCTCCCCCTTTTTATGACGCATTCGATTAGAAACCTGAGAAATCCACGAGACTTCTATTAAGCAACTAGATTAACTTTTAAAAGAAAAAGAGGATAATTCTGCGCTTATTGCAGTGTTCAGTAAACGACAAAGAAATGGGAAGAACTTGGGAATTTTTTTAAATTTGTAATTCTTATATATCGATTCATACCCCACATATAGCTTGTTTAAACCAGTCTAGGGTTTAAACATGTGCGCAGTCTGAATTTAATTTCCTGACAGACCCACGCGTGAAAACCACATAACACCCAAATACATAAATAACCATCAGCAACACCTCCAATCTGCTCCGAAATGACCTTGTCTTAAAAAAGGTCTTTTGAGTAAAAGCTTTTCATAACTTATATGATAAATGATATATGAAAACTATAATTGTTCACTAAACAAGACATATTTTATTGGTCAAACATGGTAAATCCTTTGATCCTGTTAGCAAGTCGGAGACACTTGAAGTTTTAGTCACAAACATTTGCTTTACCACGTTGTTTATCTTCCCCAATAGGAGGCACAACTGAGCAGATTCTGTGTAATATCTCATCCATTCTGACAATGATTACTGGCTGTTTTTAATCATCATTTCACACATAATAGACCCAGCATTTAGAAACGAAAGGGCTGTGAATTTGTAAATGTGATGTCAAGACTCAAAAGTATGCCCGGTCACAGTTCACAGTAAAACAATACAAAAATTACAAAACATTAATAACAAATTATAAAAAAGAATCAATCATATTTAGCAAAAAATTACAATAAAGTATGTTTTGGAAAATATATTTATTTTTGCTTGTTGACAGGATAATTCAAGACAATTAAGCACATTGCAGAGATAATGTCAAATGTTTGTTACAAGAATATTTTTGTTATTGTACCACCTGAAATTATTTTATTTTTTTACCAGTTGACATTTGATAATAAAGAATCATGCACTTTTTTTTTTTTTACAAATTGCACTTACAAATAAGAACAATGTTGGAAACATTTGAAAACAATGTAAAGAAAGATTTTAAAAAACAGACACTCACCATAAAATACTTAACACAGATAAACATGGTCTATCGAAGCATTACAAAGAACTATGCAGTAAAACAGCTTCAATCAGCTTTAAACAGCTCCAAATCTTCAATCTTGCTCTCAGTTTTCAACTTAAAAGACTGCATTTTCCACAGAGATTAACAATTTAGTTTCTATCTGTTATGCCCTGTCATGTCTGTGGTTTAAATTGAATGTTTGGTTTAATGTTCTGCATTTTGTTTTGTAATAACTAGTAGACTGCATGTACACACAGTAGTCACTAAAAGAAAAAGAAAAAACGAGCATGCACTTTTCACCTACTCAACATCCATAAGACAAAGCTGAGAGCAGGCTGTAAACCAGTAGACAAATATATTTTCAATTTAATGAATTGCAAATGTAGTGAGCAGTACTGTAGAAAAAACTGATCCATACCTTGGATGAAATCAGAGTAGTGCAATATGCACTCTGCATATTACTCAAGATTTTACTGAATAACCAAATGAAGTGCTGAAAATGAACCACCCATTCTATCATCTGAACGTTTTTCCAAAACGTTACTCCGTCTACAATAAATGTTATATATAATGAAAATACGCAGCCTAAAATAACATACATAGTAAAAAAAAAAGGTATTGATTCTGCAAATAATTTTGACAAAAACGCTTATATTGGTGCTGGCACTGGACTCTTTAGAATTTCATTGTTCTAAATTTGGAACTCTAGGTACTTATAGGGGAGAAACGAGAAGGCGGGATTGTCAAAAATGAGCACACACACTCATTTTACACTAATTAGAGTAATCAGTGGCAACAATTTGTTCCCAGTCTCTGTTGACAGACATCTTGGCGGATTGCAGAGGCCCCGTTTAGTAAAGGTAGTTTATTTTCACCATGGGTTGTCTGTCAACAGCTAGTCTATGTCTGGTGGCCCCAGTTGCCCGAAATAGCGATAATTAGGATAGGGAGGGAAAAGAGGAAAAGAGAAAACGTGTCAGACTGCTGGTAGGCCATCCACAGAGGCCTTTCCTCCTTTTTTTTCTACTTGCTTCTGTGTGTGTGTGTTTCCTCTGTTAATACTACGACCATCCCTAATGAGACAGAGACCGGTGTACGTGGATGAGAATCCAGTGTTTTGAAACTGAAATTGGGCGAGACAAGATTCTCTGATACCTGAACAGGCCACACACAGAGTCTCCAAATGACTTTGATTTTGTATGAATGTCAACTAGCTAAAATGCACAGGGTTGCATGTTGTCTCATAAAATTACTAGAGATGCATAATATCAGAACCATAACCATAACCATTATTAGCAGATATTAGAGATTCATTTTATATCGGTTGACAAGTTTAACTGTATATGTTAGTTTCTCACATTTGTACCTTTGGATTACATTTACTCGTTTGACACTCTTAAAAAAATTCAATTATAAAATGTATGACATTTTAAAATTACTAATAAAATTCTTTAAAAACACTAATTAATAACAGTGTTAAATTTAATCTTTGGAAAATCTCAAAATGAATGTCCACTTTGCCTAAATTCACATATCATTAATTTTCATTTTTAATGTTTAATTTATTTCAAGAATATATGGTAGATTTTTAATATCAGCCATTTGTCAGTTTTTGGTCATAACATTAAACCCTACACTACAGTTCTTGACTCAATTTTGAAGAACCCTTTATGCCCAATAGGTTCAATGGAGAAATGTGTTAAATGAGTGAATAATGCTGGATGTTTAATGGTTCTATTGATTATTGAAATTTATTTTTTGAAGTATTTTTATTAGCTACTTCATAAAATTTTATTAAAATAAAGAATTTAATCAAAACTCTATTTATTAATTAATTAATTAATTAATTAATTAAAATGAAATCCAAAAACTTATGCCATGATTGGAACCTCTAAAAGGTAATGTGAAGTGCCTGACAGAACCCTTTTAAACGTTTTCTTTGTCAATCAGAATGTGAAAATCAGTGCAGAAATCACATTGTCACATTTACTTACAGAATTGTTTAATTAGGAGTTAACACAATATAGCTAAATTAAAGCCTTACACACCTTTCAAGGCAATATGTAAATATGTATGTACATTTTGAATCAATAGTTTATGTATTGTTCATACTACGAAACATAAGAATATCCCAAACATGTCATTATGAAATACTGACTTTTAAGTGTCTTATAATATTCTCTGGGTGCCCTCGAAGTAGATATTGTCTTGTCAACTTGTTAACCTGAGTTTGAACTATAGAACATTTTAACAACCAACCAAAATGATGCTTTTATCATGTTCTAATCTTTTTGGAGGGTGGGTGAAGTCATGCTAGACACACCGACTCCCTTTATCCATCTCCTGGTCATCCTATATAAACCCACCCCAGCTTCAGGTCTACAAATACCCAAAACACACATGCCCTTGACAAAGAGGACGGCAAGGCAACATACACACAGGCAAGACAGGACAGAGCAGGATTGTCAAACAACCCCTGAAGAACCTTCTAAAGGACAGACGAATTCACCAAGAAGGTAAATATCAGAAACACAATATACTTTTATTAGATTCTGAATTTTGTCCTAATCCAATCAGCTGATGTGTTCACTGTGAACAGTTTATCGTTAAAGCAAATATTTTAAACATTTTTCCTCAATGTAATATTTGGTGTGATGTTGTACCCTCAGATGATGTGCTCCAGGTGTTTGCTACTTATTCTGGTTGTCTACTTCTTGATGGACGAGCTTTATGCTTTCCTGATACCAGACAGACTGCGAATGAAAAGAGTAAATATCACATTACTTATACGCTTCATTTATCCTCTTCTCAACAGAATACACATTTATATACAGTTCTGATGTCTTTTAATACAGCATTGAAATAGACGCATTTTAAAATATATCAGATATATTAAAAATGCATCTAATTTCCTGCAGAGCAATCACAGGTCGGATCAGGAGATGTCACCACACATCTATGAGCTTTCTGATCTGGCAGACTTGTTCCCAGGAAATGAAGGTGAAATGACTCGGGACTGGGATCCCAATCCGGCTAAGTCTCCTGCCTTCTTTTCCCCTTTGGAACATATCAACGTGCAACCGGCAAACAGCAACCGCCGCAAAAACAAGGATAAGAGGTCAGTTGGAATCTTAACGCAGTTATTTTAAGTATTTATTCTATTAAATATAACATTTTGAAATCATTTTGTTATTTTTATATATATATAATTTAATTATTTTCAATCTCTATTTATTTTACAATTTGTAAATTGTTTTCAAAATTAATAAGTTTTTTTTTTTGGAACTCTTAGTTCTCCGTAGCAGCTATTCTATGATGTTAAGCCCAAATTCACACTTTTTCTACATTTGTTTTCCCATTAGGAGGAGGATCACTGTTCCTCTGGACCCCATTGGCAGTTCCCACTTGTCTACTTGGAAAAGAAAGGTATTTTCAGACAAGAGAAAACCATGGTGGCTTGGCTGCATACATTTGAAGTAAAAACTGCATATCCTATCAATGTTAAAATATTTTTTCCCCCTTAGGAGGAACCTGGTGATTTTAAGGAGTATGACGCAAAGTGATCAAGCTGACAATTACATATATCGTTACAAATGACAATTTATTATGTTGTGTAGATTTAGTTCTTTTTTGGTTTCTATTAAGTCATTGCATCTCAGGTTTATGAACTGTGACTTATTTATTTGTATTTATGTTTTATGAATATTAGCTTATCAGCTCCCTCTAGTGGGGTGCAAACTGACAGACACTGTACTGGTGTTGCTGCAAAATAAAACCTTCATGGATAAACTACTTAGTCTTGTCTAATGTTCTTTCAACTCATGTTAAAATGCATCATGTCTCTGTGAATTAAAATAAGCTAGATTAGGAAAATAAGACATTCAAAGCCCAATAAAGAAAAGTTTTATTTCTTCAGGTAGTTAAAGAAAACGATATCAGATGCAAAAAATATACCTTTTGCTTTGCTTTTCTCTTCACTTTCACATATGTACACTTCTCAAAATCTGTGCTATTTACAGACTGAAACATTAAGCAAGAGATGTTCGGTTTATGGGGATTTCCAGTCCCCCTTGCTTCACAAACAAACAAAAAAAATCCAAACAATAGTCTCCAAACTAATTCAAATGAAAGAGCTCTTAGCATAAATGAGTAATCTTCACCAGTTCTCAGAGTTTAAAACCCCCAAACAATTCCTGAAAACAATTACAACCATTCCATTCGAGGACAGCTTCAGCAAAGCTCCTAAATCTAGCCTTCACATCTTAAACTGAAATCTTCCAAAAATCTCTTTAACACATTGAAAAAAATAACACTATGTTGTGCAAGTGATTAAAGACTGAACAGTTCTGATAGATTCTTTGACAAAGTACATGGGTTAACATACTGTACATTACCAGTAGAGTTAGAAGAAATTAATGTTTGATATATCAATAATTGCAACTGAAAGGATTCCCTGCTTAAATGACTCATATAGCTCTTTATATTTGATCTAATATAGCTAGCTGACTGAAGTTCATTTGGGTGTGACAAACAGCAATTAAAAAGGTGTATGATCACCAACAGGAAAAGGCATTCAGACTAACACAACACATCTACTATTCTTCAAAAAAAGCCATTTATCCAAATTAAACAAAAAATGATCAACTGGACAGTTCACTAAGAAATAATGAATTTTCTAATAGCAGTGGTGTCAACAATCTCTCATATCATATCTTTGGCAAATTCATGACAACATTTTCCTGTAATTTGAATAGTTTTATTTAATTTTAAGTAGTCTCTTTTAAATTGTAGTATTAATACAACCAATATAGTATACATTTGTGGAAACTGTAGGGTGGAAACGGTGCCCTCTAACTTTTCCCACAAAGGAAAATAGTGCCAATTCCCCGATATGCAAGCCAATCATTTCAAACAAATGTCAATTTGATGTGACAAAAGGATAGTTTACAAATAGCTTACAAACAAGCCGTCACATTTGAGCCAAACAGAATTCACACTACTCATGGTCAAATACCAACTCAGGAGGTAAGAGATTAATTCAAACATGATTTCTCCATCTGTATTCGAGACCTCTGACTGCAAACCGTAATGGGTAACTAGTTGCCAAAACTAGAAATGCAAAGGAAGTAGAAAAAAAAAGAACAAAAGAATTTTGAAACTGAAAATGGTGTCGGATACAAAAACTGGAGAACCGGGAACATTCAGAGCTTGGAGGGAATGAACACCCTCATCTAAGTGTCTTTTTTCTGACTTGACCGCCGAGAGTCTCTGCATTTGTGGCAATTAAATATGTCAGGCACATTAGACTTCTTAATTTTGGCGCAAGAGAGGTGCACCCACACGCTGCACTGACTACATTCAATCATGGGCCGTCCTGCAAAGGGTTTACCGCAGTAACAGGTGATTAAATCCCACGAATCGTCCCCTGTAAGGAAAAGATATATAAAATAAATAAAATATATATATAAAAAACAAAAGAAAAACTAAGTCCTACACATAAAAAAAAAAATTATATATGTGTGTGTGTGTATATACACTAATATATATATATTTTTTTATTTATATACACACACAACCATACATACATACACACAAACGATTGATCTAAATCTTCCTCTATCCCTAATAAACTAACCTGACTCCACCATTATGTCTTCATCCGCTATCCAAGTCTCGCCTTCACTGGAGCTCATATCTGCCTCTTGGGTGGCCTCCTCCTTCTCCTCTTTCACCTGTGCCTGTAGTCTGCGCTCAGTCATTGCTCCCGGGTCCGAATGCTCCTCTCCATGGCCGAGACCATTGTCAGAGTCTGACTCGCTGTGGGCCGAGCTCTTAAGCTTCTTAAGGGCTTTGGACTGTTTGGGGTTTTTACTGCGCTTGATCCTTGCACGTTTCTCGCCACCACTGCTACTGCTACTGCCAGCGCCTGAACCTAGAGAGAGACGCTTCAGCTTCTTGTCCTTTTTGCGTTCAGCTTTGCTGGCCACTTGGTCCTCATAGAAAGAGTCTTTTAAACGCATTTTGTCCATCAGGGCACTGTCAGATGAGAGCCGCCGCATACTCTTGTTGCTCTTATTGGCACGAGCCTTACGAACGAAGGTGTGGATGGTGTGCAAGTCCGACGTGCCGTGACTCCAGCTGGGAGCCATGTTAGAACTCGCTCCACCTAAAACACTGCCTTCTCCTGAAGCACCAGAGTTATTTGGAGAACTGGAGGATGCTGCCGACCATGGCCTTTCCTGCCGACAGAAACAGGCACACAAATCTCAATCTGGATGGATCGGATGATTTTTGGTATTAAAACACCAAAGCCATCACTGACATCTAGAAATACAGGTTCAAAAGACCAGTCAAAAGTTTAAGAGGACATTCAAAGGAAATTGTACATTGACAGTACAGGTTAAACCAGGAGTGTCCAATCCGGATCCTGGAGGGCCAACATCCTGCAGAGTTTAGCTCCAACTTGTCCCAAAACACCTGCCCAGAAGATTATAGTAATCCTGAAGACCTTAATTACCTTGGTGCAGATGTGTTTAATTAGGGTTGGATCCAATTTCTGCAGGAGTGTGGCCTTCCAGGAGCAGGACAGGACACCCCTGGGTTGTACCCTGGTAAATCTGCAGGTCATCATTGTTAATTTCATAAAAATTCAGCACTGCTTTTTTAAACTCCTGACTTTAAAAACTATCAGCCAATTAATCAGTTATCTGCTAGATTTTCCAACTTTGTTATCATCTGAAAAAACAAGTATAGGTTGACCTCTACCAATTAAGGAGCTGGTTGCACCAACTGTGGACACGTTACAACAACTGAGCCTAGTTTTGACAAGGAGGCACAAAGTTACAGGATCAAGTGACTAAATATTTTTGCATTGCACTAATAAACTTAGTTGAAGGAACTCTACGTATAAACTAAATAAACTTTACAGAAGCCTTAGACCAGTAGTAACGGTTGGAATTAAATAACAGATTTACTGAATTGCACCAACAAGCTCTTGTTTTACCTTATGAATGGCTTTAGACTTATGAATGGCTGGTGCAACCCTACCTAGCACATTAGTACAGGCTCCATGCCCTGAAATGGATGTCAAAATGTTGCAGCACTTGGAGGTCTTCCTCGGTAACATGGATTTTGCAAGGGCTTCAATACATAAAACCACACATAATTGTGAAACAATGCTCCATTCTTACCTCCTTTGGAGAAGGGATGTAACCTGCATATGCAAGAACAAAACTGCAAAACTTGTTGAAGTCCTCCACTGTCCTCTTTCTTCTCTCTGATGGCTGGACATGAACATCAATCATTAGCATTGGGACAAGCACTGCCATCTGTAGGGTGAAATTTTGTATTTCCTTGTTCGACTTACCAGAGTCTCTGCTTTGCACTTCAGTAATGAATCTATGTACCAAAAAGAAGGGGAAAGAATAATATTAATTCGTGGCTAAACAACAGGTTTGCCCGAGCGAGCGTTGCACGGAGTTGATTTGTGCCGTTTTCAGTGGTACTACAAACCTAGTAAAAAGTGCGTTTTCGATGGTAAGCTAACTGGCTAGCTGTGCGCTATTCCACGCTACACCCTGTTGATCGAGGCGTAAAATTCAAGTGCTCAAAGCACCATTTTACATCCAAACATCCACACGGTTTGAGGGACTTAAACTCTGGAGAAAACTAGACTAATTTAGCGACACACAGTAAGCTAAACCGGCGATAAAGGAAAAAGGACGCAGCAGCATCAGCATGTGGCTTAAGCCTTAATTCTCGACGTCGAAACAACTCAAGACAACTTCACCGGTGTGGAAACTCTTATAAAATCATATATGGTTGATTATGGAGTATTTACAACAAATAAATCAATAAGTGCTAAGAGGAGATCAGACACCGTCGACAATACATTTACCGCGGCAAAACAATGGGTTAGAGTCAGGCACCGAAATACTACAACGCTAAGCACAATTCAGTGACCTGTATTAAAAAGGCAACATTTTTTGGTCTTAAATGGTATAAAAATATCAGAGAAAACGCTGAACTTTGTATTAAACAAAAGCCATTCAACTGGCACCGGGTTAAAAATGATCAACAGCAGCAACTACTGTAAAAACAGAGCTGGTTTAACTGTTAACGTTACTTGGCGAAGACAAAATGCGCAACGATGCGAACTGCGGTTTTGGAAACGTGCAAATTAAATAATTTAAACAGAAAACAGTGCTTGGACATCAGGAATGCTTTTGAATCATATGAGTTACAGCTTAACGACTAACATTAGCTACAATCAACTCGACTAATTTCACTCCATTGCACAAGATAGCAACTTGGTCAATCCCTGCATGAACCAGCTCGTCAGCGCAAGTAAAATGTTCACTAACGTTACTACATTAACGTAACCACGATCATACACTACAAAGTGACTGGCAATGAATCCGGCTTACTAGAGAAATCAGACTTATAAACTAAAGAGTATGTTAAATTATTACAGTATTAAAGCTGCTAACTGCTAAAGTTGCTAACTGTTAACGTTAGCTGACTCTGCTAAACTGATCGTTGATGGGTGTTGCTTATCACAACATGGTTAAAGTTTAAATATTTAAAATCAAAGTCAAGATTTTTCCTTACCTTGGTGCTCGGACATTATTTCAAGCATTGTCGCCTAATAAACTCGATCCTCTTCAGTTGGATGACACCGAGCAGCGTCAATCTTCGCCCGGCTTGGGCGCAGCAAGCCCCGGCTGACCAGCTATAGTCTGGTTAGCTGGGCATCAGAATTACTTGTACGACGATTTTACTTCGTTTTACAAACGGATCCAATGGAATATCTCTGGATCTTGAGTCCCTGGAAGGATTAATTAACTTATTTTTTGTCAGCAAGTAGCGTTGCAAAAATAATCCAGCTTATATTACCTAACGGACCACCAAGTGAAAAAGAACCAATAATAAAACCAAGGATCCAGCATTTTTTTTTTTTTTTTTTGCAAACGAATGTTAGTAATATAAACTCTGCGTTCGGGCTATAATCCTTTTTGACGAAGGGGGAAAAAGACCAAAGTTCCCAAAAGAAAATTACGTGTGTGCGTGTCGCCTCCGGCGCGCCTCACCAAAGTCGACGATGTCAACTGACTCAAAAAAACCCTTGCGGTGAAATTGCCGTTGCGATGTAAAATTTGCCCTCTAGTGTTAATGGGGAATGTAGTTCAACCAATGAGATTTTCCGAAAGACTGCACTGAATGCAATGACAAATAAACAACATACCCATGATTCATTGCGCTAGTCGCTGTATTCATGGGACATTGAGTCTATCTGTTGCAAATATTATGGTTTGTTTGCATTGTGCACATGATTAAATTAATAGTGATACATTTATAAACTATCATCCTTCTATGCAGATGTGGACGTTTCAATCAATAAGTAAGATCAGTCGTTAGACAGGCTTTACTTTCCTGTTCTTGTCGGTTGCCAATGACGTTTTACCAGAGGAATGGCTAAGAAGCTGTTTGCTATGAAATAACCATTTTACATGGAAAGGGGGCGCTAGGGCGCTTAGAAAGGAACGCTTCTTCTACTGTTGTAAACAGTAAATGTAAATGGTGGTTGCACAGGAGTCACTGGTAAATATAATTATTTAAATCTAGGAAATAGCTTGTACGGGTTGGCAGGGTGACCGCTGGCATATCGGTAATAAAATATTAAAACTTAATAATGTCAAAAGGCCATAACAAGTCTTAAATATCTTAAATAGCATAAAAAGTATCAAATGCTATCATTGTGGAGCCATTAAACTTAAAAATGGAAAGAGTGACAGTTCTAATAATTATAAATAAATATTCTTCTTAATTTATTGAAAAGCTAAAGCAGGGGTGGGGACGTTGGTCCTGGAGGGCCACTCTCCTGCAGAGTTTAGTTCCAACCCTAATCAAACACACCCAAGCTAATCAATGTCTTCAGGATCACCAAGGCTACAAACAGGTGAGTTTTTTTTTCAGGGTTGGAGCTAAACTCTGCAGGACAGTGGCCCTCCTGGACCAACGTTCCCCACCCCTGCCCTAAACTAAGGGACATGGTGTATGAAAAAAATATATGAAATGGAGGAAAACAACATCTGTAAATGCTTTTGCGTTCTCTCGCAAATGTTTTGAGTTCCCCAGATAAACTTTGCGTTCCCTCGCGAAAACTTTTGCATTCCGCAGAAAAAACGTTTTATTCGCTCGCAAAGAGCTCAAAAGGTTTTTCAAATGAATTAAGTTTCTTGGGGGGACACCATAGAGGGGAACACAAAACATTTGCGAGAGAACCCAAAAGCTCTGACTCTCTTGAGTAGGTACTCATTTTGAATAAATAATTACTTCATGACCGCTAAATTTTTTTTTTTATATATATAGTTTGAATGTAATCTGGACGTGCTACATTCACCATATTGTCATTGCCATGTGACCTACCAGCGTCATAGACAGTAAAAGAAATGAATTAATGAAACCTACTATAAAATATAATCAAAAGGCTGAAAATCAAGGTTTTATAAAGGTTTTATTAAGTTATTTGTAACTATATTGCCAGCACTAATCACTATTCATTTCAGCTGCTCAGATTTATGTGATATACTATTCTTTTTAATCTTAGTTTTTGATGCAAAATTGTTATTTCTGTCTTTCTGAGCCACCGAGCGCCCCCTGTAAGAAATAAATTATTGCAGCTGAAAATGCATAAACCGCTCTATTGATTTTAGTTCACTGACCAAACCCCTTAACAACGAAATCAGCTATTGCTTCCACGACAGTTTTCACCTCGAATGCTTCACACAGACTGTACTGTACTGCCTTGACAGGGCTCTTGATCACACGCAAAGGCACGTATAATTGTTGAAGAAGATAATGTCAGAGAAGGACCTTAAACCATCGCAGGACCTGACTGTTGTGGTGAGTGTTTGATTTTCACCGAGCTACAATGCAGGGTCGTGCACTTTTACAGCCGCCTAGTATTTAGTCACGCTTACTCCACTAGCCAAAGTAGGCTATAGTTTAATTAGTGTATCATATTGAAAAGTGTTAAGTGTTGTGATTTGCCTGACTTAATTAATCGTTGTGTCTTGAACTCGTACTGACAGATCAATCTAACGAGTTCCTAAAGGAAATGTTTTCTTTCTTCATCAATCTGTAGTTTGTATATAGAATATATTATCAGGAGGGTTATGAAAGCTTTCTTTATTTCAATGTCAGGTATCTTGTGTGATTATTACAGTTACACGATGATGTTGAGAGGTTTCCCTTGTTACTATGGTTTCAGTTCCACGCGTGGGCGGAGAGCATGCCCTTAAACTGCTGTTTTTACTCCTGTGTGGGAAGCCCACGCAAAACCCACACGATTCTAGATATTTCTTTTATGCTAGTTGTTCATTCACAATTTGAGTGAAACTGCTCAAGTTTAGTCTGATTGCTTGTTTCGTTTTTACTTTAACATTTTTCTTTTTTCTTTTCTTCAATTCAGGTACAGACATTGCTGCAGCAGATGCAGGACAAGTTCCAGACCATGTCAGACCAGATCATTGGGCGAAATATCCTTTTGCATATAATAATTGCTCAGACCTGATTGTAGCTGAATTGAGTGGAATACACTAGCTATGTTTTATACACAGTTAAAACCTGATTCATGCTTCCTAGCTTGATTATGAGATGATAGGTTATTCCAAAACGATTTTGTCTTAATTGTAATACTTGACGAGATGAGTACGCGAATCGATGACCTGGAGAAGAACATCTCTGATCTCATGACTCAGGCAGGCGTGGATGAGTTAGAGGAGGAGATAAAAGTCTCTGAGACCTCTGGAACCGCTTGAAGGCAATGACCAACACCATCTTAGTAAGTGAACTTTGAAGATGCCTTGTTACCATTTAGAGAACACTTATATTCCATAAATTGCAGTAGAATATGTATTTGACATTACATTTGGATTCTTCTGCTTGTGACAAATTATATAAAGAAAGTCACATTCATAGTCATCTTTTGTAAATTTAAGTCAGGTTGTTGTTTTGTGATCGAGTATTTCTGTTTTGTTTACATTTGTTATCTTTTCCCTTTCAGACTGCCAAGGAACACAGTGAAGACCTTCTACTGCAGTATCAGAATTTTTAAATGAAATGTGAATTAATCATTTTTTAAGCAATTCATTAAAAATGGTGCTTGCCTATGTGTATTACATATTATATTACATATTGTAAGGTTAATTGGATTACTGGCCAGAAGATTAAGATATTAAAATCTTCTTTTGTATTTATTCATTGTAATGACAGGGGGAAATCATGTGGTTCCTGCATGTTTTGCTGATTATTAAAAACCCCATAAAATTACTTGATGATCACAGTTTTCTTTCCTATTAAAACAGAAAATAGGCAGGGGTGTATTGAAGGATTCATCCCTTGTTATATAACCAATAGCATATAGCAAATTATTTAAAAAATGCCATGCAGTGTAAATATTTTTTTTAAAATATTTTAAAAAGAATTTAATCAGAATACATGGCTACATTTAAATGGCCTTCAATAAAAAGTTTATGCAGCCAGTCGGTGTGGTTATGGCATCTGCCAGCAGGGGTTAACTGGGCCAAACCAAAGTCCCAAAAGTTTTTGGCCAAACCTTCACTAGCGACTAGGATCAAAAGCAGCAGATCAGCTAAACCCCTGTAGATGTGGTATTAGAGGAAGGGATTTTTTTTTTTTATCAATCTGTTTATCTTATACTATAGGCCTAACTCTGGATCTGGCATCAACATTTAGAGGGAATGAGGTCTATTATGGATTTGCCAATTACATTTTTGACAAAACAATGCCCAGTTAGATACTAATGAATCGCAGAAAGAATGGCTTGTTGACACATAAATAATTTTTTAAACGGAAATATTCATTGATTAAAATCATTGATTTTATTACTGTCTGTTTACAAAAACGAAGCTGGGTCTATTTTATCATACAGATTGTTCTACAACCCTTTTAGACACATATTTTAGATTTGGATTATATTCTACATCAGACTATTATATGTTGATTTGAAACCTGCTGATAATAACGTTTAAGTCCTTCTGTTAAGTTCATATTTAGTTGGGAATTCCATTCTCTTAATTAACTTCACAAAAATACATCAAGGTTTTTAAAATCTACTTATGAAGAACAATGAATGTGCATCAGGTGTGTTTTGCTTTTTTATGTTTTTAATAAATGTATGAAAACACTTAGCCTAAAACTTTATAGTTACATATTATATTTTTATATTTCAATATTTTTATATTTCAATAATATTATATTTTGTGGAGACAATTTGCTTATTTTGTTGTAAATAAAACAGCCTGACACATCTGATAACTAACCCCCACGTTTCTCACGCCCCCAAATCGTAAACTCGGGACTTAAAGAAAATACCGAGCTTCTCACTCGTATTTATGACGTTTGTGGTGGCTTCGTAAATACGTAAATCGTAAATACGATCTTTTAATTGAATGCACCATTAGCATGCTAGTGTGTATAGCCTGCTAGTGCTAATGCTAACCCGAAATCACCTGCTCAGCCACACAAGATGCGGATTTATCAGCACATTACATGAATTCCGCACAGGTATAAGCATCATACAATAAGTTATTCATAATTCCACCACACTGCAAAGTACACGAGTCGATAAAAGCTGTGAGATTTAACCGAGGCAACGACTCTAGCTGGTAGCCTACCGTTATTACTGGGTTTATTATTTGGACTCTTTCTGCGACAAAAGCACGACTTTTCTAACCTAGTAAACTATCATCAGGTATGTATGCAATTATAGATAAGGTATGATAGCTTGAAAATATTTTTTGCATGGATAACTTCAATGAAAGTAAACGGTAACACTTTACAATACGGGTGCACTAATAAGCGTTAATTCATGTTTAACTAATGCACAGATAATCACGAGTGAATGTATGACTCATGAATACCATTAATTAATTATTACTGCATCAGCAACTAATAAAGAGTCTATATGATTAATAGATTAAGTAATACATAAACTGCTATTAATTAAACGTGTCATCATGTATTAATTCCTTAATTAAATATTGTATTAACTAATGGTGTAAATTAAT